ACTACTACTACTACTACTACTACGACGACTACTACTACTACTACTACTAATACTACTACTAGTACTACTACTACTACTACTACTACTACTACTACTACTACTACTACTACTACTACTACTACTACGAATAACGACTACTACGACTACTACACTACTACTCCTAACGACTACGACTACGTACTATACTTACTATTACTTACTTATAAAACGACTATATAAAAAAAAAAACATAATAAAACTAACTACTACTACTACCAAACTTAATGCACTGCGACTCTTACGTCTACGAATTCTCACCACTACCACTACTACAATAGTTACTTACTACTACTACGAGTACTTACTTCCTTTACCACCACTACTACTACACGACTTTATACTCACTACTCTACTAATACTACTACTACTACTACTACCAATACTACTACGACGACGAATATACTACTACGACTACTACTACTACTACTACTACTACTACTACTACTACTACTACTACTACTGACGACGACTACTACTGCTACTAAGACTACTACTACTACAACTACTACTACTACTACTACTACTACTACTACTACTACTACTACTACTACTACTACTACTACTACTACACTTCTACTACTACTACTACTACTACTACTACTACTACTACTACTACTACTACTACTACTACTACTACTACTACTACTACTACTACTACTACTACTACTACTACTACGACTACTACTACGACTACTACTACTACTACTACTACTACTACTACTACTACTACTACGCTACTACTACTACTACTACTACTACTACTACTACTACTACTACTACTACTACTACTACTACTACTACTACTACTACTACTACTACTACTACTACAAATTCGACGACGACGATTACGACGAGCGCTACTACGACTAGGGCGACCAACTGGACGAGGCGGATACCGACTTGTCCTTGAAACTTTGCACGAACAGCCCAGGGAGTTCTCTATCATGTACGGTAGCCTAGGGGGTGATACCCGCCAGGAGAAACTCCCACTTCACAAAAAGCAGCCAGGTGAGCAACACGGGCAAACAATTCGGCCGCCGATCCCCGCACTTGATTTTCAAGCCAGACTCTTGGGGGCTGCAGCACTAAAAATTTATCCGCGGGATCGCTTCCCGGATTCATTGGGACGCACCAAGACATACCTGTACTATGTGTCCTCCTCGAAGGCGTGCGTCCGCACGGAGACAAATAGGGCACAAATCGTTTCCCGAGCGCTACGGCCAGAAAGCGTCCGCCACGACGCAGATGCTGCACGGTTTCTCGGTGCGCACGTCGCCCCATGGGGAGGCGACGCACGCGTAGTACCCATCGGTCGGAAGAGGCAGGTAGAAACAGGAAGTAGGAAGGCGCTGAAGTAGATTTCGTCTCCGCCCGCCCCCCGAAGAGGAGGGACGAGGGGAAGCCACTCGTTCACTGGAGTAGGTTGGCGCTTACAATAGACTGGAATCTGGGAGTCCCAAAAACACCTACTTTCAACGACCGATTGGGGTCTTAGCACTTTGGGGCGACGCCGAAGCCGTGCCGCGCGGACGCGGCTGGCTCGCCGCCCAAGGCGCCGAGCCCCCGGCGTCTCGCGCGGCGTCGCCCGTGAGCCTCAGCAGCAGCAGGGGCGCCTCGTCCAGGACCACGGCCCCCGCGGCGAGCGGGCGGTTGGCAACCGCCACCTCTGGCGAATACATGACACAAACACACACACACACACTTGGAGGCCTGGAAATGGGCACCAACACCAACACAGTGGGTTGCCTCCACAGGGGGAAGATGATCCTAGAGTTCGGTGTTGGTGGTAATATTTCGGCCACCCTGGAAGCCAAAATTATTACCACCATCACCGAGATCGGGATCTTCTTCCCTCGGTGGAAGCACACCGCCGATATTGATGTTGGTGTCAACCTACAGGCCTGCGACACACACACACACTTGTTCTGCGTCGGCGGCTAGACAGAGCGACTGCGCGGGCGGAAGAGGCATAACGCCACACGCACACATAGAAACACGCTCTCGGCGGCGCGCCCCGGGAGGAAGCGAGAAGGAGAAGGCCTTCTCGGAAGGCTCGAAAGAGCCCCTCGGACTTCTGAGAAGGTCTTCCCGGAGCCTTTCCCCAGGGGCACAGGGGACTTCTCAGAAGGCGCGAGGACTTGTGAGTCCCGCCGCCTTCTGAGACTGCCTTCTCCTTCTCACTTTTCCCTCATCGCTCGCCGCCGACACACACACACACACATATAATTACACACACCAGCCTGAGGGAGGAAGACGGAGGAGTGTTAAGGTGACGAAAGTGCTCCAGGCATGGGTGCGAGCCTGGGAGAACAACAGCGAACTGCACAAGCATAAACTTTCGGAGCACCGCGCGGCTCTCTTGGATCTGCGCGGACCCCCCGGCGGCGCCTCCGGCGCCGAGGGAGGGGCCCCCGCACAGGCAGAAGAGACCCGCGCGCAGCTCGGAAAGTTTGTGTGTATGCCGATTGCTGCTGCTCCAGTAGAGAGCAGAACATCCACCCTCCTAATAATCACCCCGACACGCGAAGTCGTTTAGCAAACGCACCCAAAGAAGGAATCAAACAGGGCAGGGCAGGGCTGTTTAGTAAATGCCTAGGGCCGTGCAATAAACGCGAATTATCGGGTCCAGGTGTCTTTTCCTTGATCCAGAGCTGTCGGACCCCGAGGAGGGCTCCCGTTCGAGCGGAGACCCCAATCCGACAACACACACACACACAAAAAAAAAAAAACACCCATAGCCGCCCCCACCCTGGAATGCCAGCCCTGGGGAAACCGAAGGATACTGATATCAGGCTTTTCCCTGGGTGTGCTCTGACCAAGATTCCGATGCGAATCCAGCGGTGGCGACGAAGGCCAGGACCGAAAAGGTGGAAAAGAGGCAGGGGTGGCGGCATGGGTGCCTGTTCCTCGTCTACAGTGGAGGCCAGTCCACAAGAAACCTTCCACAAGAAAACTTCCACTAGAAACCCAACCCTGCTACCCCAGGACGCCCATGGGTTTGTAGTGTGGGAACGTCACGCTTTCCATGGCAAGACCATCGAAACCCAGGGAACCCAGGGCACCCTGGAGGCAAGCAGGGTGTCTTGGCATGGGCCCCCACTGTAAATGCAGAGATACAGTCGGGGCGTTGACCTAAGGAACCCAAAAAGGAACGAGGCCCCTCTTTCCCATAAGTTAAACTTCCATTTCCCATGGAAGTCCTCAGGACAACCTGAGGCAAACTGTTAAACAATCAAGGAACACCGAGCCCCTCCCCAACGAAAAGGGTTCCTTCTTCAGGGCCCCGACTGTAAATGCAGAGATACCTGGGGGTCGCACCAGGTATGGGTGGGTGCCCGCTGTCAGCCCACGAACCTTCCCGCGGTCGGGGGTCTCCACGACGTCGAAGGGCGGCCGCCCCGACGCGCTGCCTGCAGCAAGCACCACGCTGGGGGTGTCCGCGCGGAGCGGCCGACGCGCCAGTCGCCGACGCGCCGTCCCAACCCCCCCCCGCCGCCACGCATGGTCAGGAAGCAACTCCTGGGGGGGCCTCGCCAGAACAATCGAGGGCTCCTAAGCCCGAGGAGGGGGCCGTTGAGCCGGATAACGCCAGATAATAGGCCCAGGACCGTGGGGATAAAGGCGGGATGTGCCAGATTGGGCCGGACTGGGTCGGTTTTCGACCGCCGATGTACCAGCGCCGATGCTTTGTCTGACTCACTCGCCTGCCACTGGGGTCAGACTTCTGGAGTAAAAGGCAGCGAAGGACAAATTAAGGAAACGATACTTTCTGAAGACACAAAAAAGGCAGTACACTGGGGGGGGAAACAAGAAAACGAAAACCGACATTTGAGACAAACGCGGCCCGAACAAGGGAGATCGGAGAAACTGAGCTCCTGTCCCTTACCCCTGAGGCTGACGCCCCTCATCACGCGAAGCTGAAGGAACAAACAGCTGTATGAGCATAAGCTGTTGGAGGTCCGCGCGGGCCTCCGGGTTCTTATGTCTGTGCTGTTTTCGTTCCCATAAATCCGCATGGAAAGGACGGGTGACCTTCCCCTCAGGGTGCCCCTTGCACCCTTGCCTCCTCGGTCCATCCTTAGGGGAGCAAGCAGTGGCACAAGCATAACAACTCGGAGGTCCGCGCGGGTTTCTCGGATCGGCGCTCGACCCCCCCTCCCCGCCGCGCGAAGCGCAACGGGGGCGGCGCTGGAGGCACCCCCAGGGGGGGCGCCCAGCGCCGATCCAAGACATCCGCGCGGAGCTCCGAGGCTCGATAGCTGTTCGACACGACACGAAATGGGTACGGAAGGAATGGGTACAATGCCCAACAGCAGTTCCTTTTCATTCTGAACAGGATCTGCTGTCCACGCCGCCGCGGCCTGTCCATTCGAGACACAAGGCCGCCTGCCCAACAGAGGCCGCCGTTGGTTTGGGACAACATTTGTTGTTGGGGTTTTTACCCATTTATTCCGTACCCATTTCGGGCGTCCAAATGTGTGCCATTATTTGTTGGCGGCCAGCCCGGGTGGGAAGCGAGAGGGGGCGGCTCTCTGAAAAAGGTTCTAAGCCCTCCTCGAAGACACTGAAAATTTCAGGAGGCCGGAGGGCTTCTGAAGAAGCCCCGCCGCCTTCTGAAAAGGCGTTCTCCTTCTCAGTTTCACCCCAAGACGCGCCGCCGAACGCGATTTTTGGGTCAAACTCGGGTCTCAGGCGGCCGTTCGGAACGATCCGGGCTCCCCCGGAACGCCCTCGGCGAGGCGCAGCTGCTGAAAAGCATCCCGAGGCTGGAAAACCGCCGAAAACCGAAGACGACGCCCGAAAACTTCGAACCTGGAACCTGAAGCTTTCCCCCCTCCGCCCGCCGCCGAATCTGCTCCTCGAGAGGCACGGGTCTCCCAGGAGCTGCATCCTAAGCGTAGCGCGCGCCGCTGCCGCAGGCGAGGAGCGCTCCTGATGGGCCAACTTACCACCAACACTACCATTGGTACGACGGGGGAGAAGGGAGGATTTGGAGTTCCTCCTCCTCCTCCTCCTCCTCCTCCTCCTCCTCCTCCTCCTCCTCCTCCTCCTCCTCCTCCTCCTCCTCCTCCTCCTCCTCCCTCTCCTACCTGTGGTGGTGGTGGAAAATCGGCCCATCAGCTCCCAGGCTGCTGCAGCCTCCTGGGGCGGTGCGCCGCCGAGCGCGCGCACCCAGGCCGGCAGGCGCTGCGGCGGCCCGGCGCTGCGCTGCGTTGCATCTGCGGGGGACCTTCGTCTGCCCTGATACGGTAGCGGCCCGACCACGAGAAACCCTCCACAAGAAACCCAGCCCTGAAAAGCGAGGACGTCCATTGATCTTTCGTGTGGGAACGTCACGCTTTCCATATAGCGAAACCATCGAAACCCAAGAATCCCAGGGCGCCTGGGAGGCAAGCAGAGTGTTCCTTGGCATGGGTATGTAAGCAATACAGTGGGCCCGTATCCTAAGGATGCGCGATAAGGATGCAAGGGTCTTGGACGCCAACTTCCCAACGAACGTGGTCAAGGATGGGCCGAGAAGGCAAGGATGCAAGGGTGCCCTTGGGAAGGTTGCCCATCCTTACCCATCCTTACCATGCGTGTGGACTGTAGAAGTACAATCAAACTTGATTGGACAGGACACCCGAGAGGACACAAGACTCTTCCGACAGCAGCGCGGCCCCAGAACACCAGAGGACACGCGGGTTGCACAGGTCGGGATAGGCTGGGCCCAAGGGTACCCACGATTTGGGCCAACTGTACCCCTAATACTTTGGGAGGGACCGAAGTTGGGAGGGCAAAACATAATAATTAGGGATGAGGGGTCTGACCTGCAGATGTGTCAGACGATATCCCTAAAACCGTGCTATTCGAGTTAGGGGTTGCATTATGCTCAGGATGTCTCGTTCGGGGAGACGTAAGGCCCGGGCTCGGGGGACTCGGGCTGCGCTGGAGGCGCCGCCAGGGGGCCCTGGCGCAGATCCAAGAACTCCGCCCGGACCGTCGAAAATTGGTGTTTGTGTCGTTCTGGCTCCCCTCCAGTGACGGGTCGGGGAAACGAAAGGCTCGAAACCGCTGGAGCTCGGTTCTGCCGTTCGCCGAAGCCCTTTCACAGTCCAGTGTGCGTGGAAAGTCTGCAGCGGGAGCTCGTGTCATCTTTCAGGCTGGGCCTGGTAATTTTGCTGACGGCCCTCGTTAGGCCCGCTCCTGGCGCGCTCCCCGCGCCAGGGAGGCGGTCCAACACAAACCCAATACATCCGCGCGGACCGTCGAAAATTCATGTTCATGCCGTTTCTCTTTCTTCGCGCCGCCCCCCGAATTATCAGCATCGAAGCCGTGCCGAATCCATGTCGGATTCGTCGATTCCTCGTCGAATCCACCTCAGATCCGCGTCGGATCCACGCCAACTCCGCGTCGAATCCGCATCGAGCCCGTGCACAAGAAAGGACATCAATGTTTAGGTCGGGCATGTCCTCCTACAGGCGGATTTTGGAGGTTGAAAAGGGGGGTGGCAAAAACAAAAAAAGTCAAAAAGTATTCGAAACATCGTCCCCAGACTAGGTGTTGCCTATTCTTGAATACTCCTCCTGTCGAGGGACATGCCCGACATAAACCAATGCTTGCGACAGACGAGGCCCCCCGAAGACGCCACGCAAGCTGCGGACAGGGGAGCCCCGCCGGGGCGGCGGGCCGAGCGGTCCAGCACTCCATGTGGAGGACCGGGCCTCTCCTTCTGCCGCGAAGAGAGTCGAGGCCCCGCGCGGCAACTTGAGCGAGGATCAAGAAAGGGTCCTACGCGAGATGACGCGGCGACCTTACGCGGTGGCTCACGCGGGCCGCCAGCGCGGCACGCCACACTGGAAGCGAAGTCGCCTACGCGCGAGCCTCCACCGTCGCGAAGTCGCTTACGCGCTTACGCGAAGTCGCCGAATTCGAGACCATGGCGCGCCACGCGAGGCCTGCAGGATTTTCCTAAGAGCCTCTTTTGAGCAGGGACCGACCGTCCCGGCATTCCTATGGTCCTACCACGAAATGCTCTTAGAAGCCAGAAATGTTCTAAGAACAAGACCAATGCTCTCAGAACATAGAAGCCCGATGTGACAAAACGAGGCAGTCCAAGCCAGAAAGGTTCCAAGAACACTTCGTGGGAACCACAAAAGGTTCTTAGAACATTGTTCGGTGGGGCTACAATCAGGTCGGGCGAAAGGGGGGGATAGCAAAGGGGGGGAATGAGAATCAGCTCACGGAGCTGATTTTCCCGGCGCCTCCCGGCGCTGGAGGCGGCCATGTATCGAGGAATGGCCCCTCGGTGAGGCCGAAACCAGCTGCATGCAGCGAATTTCGTAACCCCCCCTTTCCCAATCCCCCCCTTTCGCCCGGCCCGACATAAACGAGCCGTGACGCTTCGCCAGTGCTTGCCCCTCGCCTCCCGCGCACTGCCGGCGGGGCCGCCCCGCGCGCGGCGGCCCCGCCGCGCCGCCGGCTCGGGGCGTCTGCTCGGGCCCCGCGGCGGCGGAAAAAGCGGAGTCGCCGCGGTGCTGCCGACACTCGTGGGAGCTGCATATTTCAATTTCTACGCATATATGTGTGTATGTGTATGTAAAGTGATACACATATATACATATATATAATTGTATACATCTATATCTATCTATAAATATATTACACACATCTACATATATACTTATACATATAAGTATAAATATATGTATACATACATAAACATATGTATCTATACACTCATGTTTTAGAACCACGTTCGCGCTTCGCGCGCGCCTAGGTTTTAGTCGACTGCGCAATCATTGTCAGCAGACCTCGCGCTAACCCGCCTACCCCAGGATACCAAAGGAGAAGTTCCCCAGGCGCTGGCCGCCTTTGGTGCGGGGAAATGCTGGGCCTTCTGGAGGATTAGTTGTGGGTTCTCTGGGCGGTCGCGGAACCGTGCGGCATCGCCGTGCGACGCGTCGGAAAGGTCCGATGGTTTCCCGCATTGCGCAAGTGACGTGACTGCCACGGTGGCCGAAAAGAGGCCCAAAGGCTCGGGGCCGCCAGGGCCGCCGCCGCCGCCCCCGCGTCTGCCGCCGCCGCAGCCCGCCGCCATCTTTCTGATCGTCGCGGTGGTCGTCGAAATGGTCGCGGTGGTGGTGGCCGTCGCCTGCGGGCTTGATCGGACGACTGCACCCGGGCCTCTGAAGGCCTCCAGGCTTCGGAGCTCTGCGGAGGGCGTCGGCCGTCGCCGATCGGTCGTCGTCGTGGTCGTCGTCGGACCTCTGGTGGCCGCCGGGGCTCCTCGACATCGCTGTCGTCGTCGCCGTGGTCGTCGTGGTTACGGTCGTCTTCGTCGTTGTCACCGCCGACGTCGTCGCAGCCGTCTACGGCCGAGGGGGGAGAATGAGGATTCCAGGGTCGAGGATCGAGGTTTGTAGATCATGTTGGGCCTCCTCGGTCCTCGCGGGGTCGCTTTCGTCGCCGCGGTTGCCAAGCGCCTTGGGCTCCCGCCAGCGTTCGTCCAACGTGCGGGCTCTGACCGCCGCCGCCGCTACATCCGCGGCCAGTCGTCGCCGTCGTCGTCGTCGTCGTCGTCGTCGTCGTCGTCGTCGTCGTCGTCGTCGTCGTCGTCGTCGAATGTGCACGTTTTTTGCGCGGGTTTGGACCTGGGTGGCCTTTCCGTGGCCTCCCGTGCCAGAACTCGGAAGACACCCTCGACCTCTGGGGACCGTCGGGGGTCGTCTTCGTCCCCCTCGTCGTCTTCGACATCTCTCCTCCTCCTCCTCCTCCTCCTCCTCCTCCTCCTCCTCCTCCTCCTCCTCCTCCTCCTCCTCCTCCTCCTCCTCCTCCTCCTCCTCCTCCTCCTCCTCCTCCTCCTCCTCCTCCTCCTCCTCCTCCTCCTCCTCCTCCTCCTCCTCCTCCTCCTCCTCCTCCTCCTCCTCCTCCTCCTCCTCCTCCTCCTCCTCCTCCTCCTCCTCCTCCTCCTCCTCCTCCTCCTCTTGCTTCTGCGGTGACATTCGGGACATCATCTCGGATGTTCACGGCGAATATTCCAGATATCGATGTAGATGTCCCCGGAGAAACTTGAGGGACCTTCGACAGGGTTCGAGGAGACAAGAAGCACTGATGTTCCGTTGGTTCTCGAAGGACTGGAGGGCACGCGCCTTCTCGGGCCAAGAGCGACCCACGACGGCCTCCGAGATCGCGGGACGGCCCGAGAGGCTCCCCAAATCGCACCATGACGGCCCATAGGCCCCAGGGTGGCGGCCCATAGGGTTAGGTTGGGCATGTCCCCCTACAGGCGGATGTTGGACGAAAAATAAGAAAAACCCAACAAATGCTCAAAAATAACCACAAAAAAAAAATCCCCAGACTAGGCTTTGCTTATTTGGGATACTCCTCCTGTCGAGGGACATGCCCGACTTGAACCAATGCTTGCGACAGACGAGGCCCCCCGAAGACGCCACGCAAGCTGCGGACAGAGGAGCCCCGCCGGGCCGGCGGGCCGAGCGGTCCAGCAGTCCACGTGGAGGACCGGGCCTCGCCTTCTGCCGCGAAGAGAGTCGAGGCCCCGCCCTTTTGGACTATCTTTGAATGTTCCTCCTGTAGGGGGACGGGCCCGACTTCACCCTGGGGTTGTGGATGCCATGACAATGGACACTCTAAGAGTCCTACCATTGAACCAAAGATGCGTTTGGAATGTGTAAAACACTCTACACATGTGTTCAAGCATGTTTCTTACAGCTTTTTTGAGCAAAAAACAAATTATGATAAACATGAAAAATAATAATACTAATAATAATAATAATACTACTAATAACAATAATAATACTAATAATAATAGTAATAGTAATAATAAAAATAATAATAATAATAATAGTAACAACAACAATAATAAGAAGAAGAATAATAATACTAATAATAGTAGTAATAGTAGTAGTAATAAGAATAATAATACAAATAATAGCAGTAATAGTAGTAATAATAATAATAATAATAACAACAATAATGCCGGAAACATGTTTTTGGCATCTGGAAAGTATTTGGCAGCATGCTCCCTCTCCATTGATCGTCCTCCACAACCCTGGGGCGAAGAGGCCCGGAGGCCGCCGCGGCCGCCGGCCGCGGCCGCGCTGAGGGCGGCGAGGCCCGCCGGCGGCAGCCCCAGCCTCGGGAATGGGCTCCGGCAGCCCTTCTCTCGGGGGGCAGCGGCGGGGGCCTCCGCGGGCCCGCGGGGGCCTTCGGGGCACTGCGAGGCCCAAAAGGCCTTCTCTTCGAGGCACGCGGGGGCTCGACCGCGCTCGCCGGCCTTCGACGGCTCTCTGCGAGGCACGAGAGAGCGACTTTGGGGGGGGGGAGGCCCAGGGGCTTCTCGCGGTGGTCTGCGAGGTCCGAGATGGTCGAGGGTCTGCGTGGCTGCTCGGCGGCTGTGCAGCCTCGGGGCGCTCTCTGTCCGCTGCGCCCCGTCGAGGGTGCTCCGGGCGTGCCCACCTCGTCACGAGCGGCCACGGGGGGCCCGAGTCGCGACCCACAGACCAGCAGAGTGGGCCTGGGCTTCCTCTCTACTGCGCACCTTCGGGGGACCTTCCCTGTCCCAAAAAGCGGCAGCTTGTCGATCGTGCTCTGACGTGGGCTCCACGCAGCTTCGACGTGCGGTCGGCATGGATTCGACGCAGATCCGACGCGTTCGACATGAGTTCGACGTGGATGCGGCACGGACGGCTGGCGTGATGTGACAGACGAGGACCCCCAAGCATGCAACTTGGCCCACGTCCTGGGGCATCGTTCCCAAAAGAAAAACAAGTACCAATAGTGTTGCCCTTGCCACGGTTTCGCCGTTTTTAGCCTCGGGGGATTCCCTGCCCGGTACAAGGCAGTCTTCTATTATGCTCCGACCTGGGCTCGACGCAGCTTCGACGTGAGTTCGCACTGGACTCCACACGGAGTCGACCACGGGAATCGGGGCGTTCGACAGGGATCCGACATGGGTGCGACACGGATGGCTGGCGCGATGGGGCAGACGAGGTCCCCCAAAGGTGCAGCGTGAGCAACGTCCTGGGGCAACGCCCCCAGAATCGAGGATCGGAGGAGGAACAGGTACGTTTGAGGAGAGGCCACCGGAAACCTTGCCCCAGAAATCCAACCCTGAGGCCCCAGGAGGTCCACTGATTTCTGGTGTGGGCACGTCGCGCGTCCCACACCAAACCATCGAAACCCAAGAAACCCAGGGCACCCTGGAGGCAGGCAGGGTGCTTCTTGGCATGGGATTCCACTGTACCGAACAGGTCTGCAACACCGAGCGCGCTGACTGGAAGGCCGCTGGCTCCCAGGCAGTGGAAGCGAAAACTGCCGACCTGGCTCCCTGTGTAGCAGCAACCCATTTGGCCATCCACGAGCAACGACAGACGGAAGAGGGGCTGCAAGACAGCACGCGCGACTTCAACATGGATGACCCCGCTGCATGCGATGCTTAGCTCATGGAAGCAGAGCCAGGGCTATGAAAACCACGTGCAGAAACAGACGGGCCGTGTCCCATCATGGTGCATCCGATGCAAATTCAAGCTGCGCATGCCGAGCGCGAGGTGTGAGACGCGTGGTCCTGGCGATTATTCCCGAAACATTCCTTGCGTTTTGGGGTTCGTACTTGCTCTCTTGAATCATCGGATAGGTGTTGCGGGGTTGCGCCAAGTGCTCACTTGTTGCACGTCCGTGGGCTCCTCGTAGGCTACCCCACATAGCTTACACCACACAGCTTGCACCACATGGCTTACACCACACTGCTGAGACCACAGAACGTGCACCGCAATTTACACCACCTGGCTTGAACCGCGAAGCTATCACCACCCAGCTTGCATCATCTAGCTTCTACAACATCTGTTACACATGCAGCGTGAAAGAAGCCGTTGTTTGGGGTCCACAGTAACAGGTATTCTGAATCCTTACGTTGCCATGCTCGAGGTGCCGTTGCTCGTGTCTACTGCATTGGGAAGCGCGGAGCCTGCCGAAATACGGTGTGTTTAAAATTTGGGGGGGCGACGCGGAGCCAACCTGTTTGGAGGGTCTTTGCTCGGCTGCTTCAAAAACGCAAACGGCCCCCGCCTCTTTAGGATACATACTCTGAACGAATGCCGTCGTCGACAAACCTCTAGTCTTGGGTACTGACCCGACAACGTTCGTCTCGGCAAGGGCTACAGTCGGGGCGTTGACCGAAGGAACCTTAAATAAGGAACGAGGCCCCTTGATCCCAAAAGTTAAGCTTCGATTTCCAATCGAAAACCTCAGGAACATCCAAGCCAAGCTGTAAAACAATCAAGGAACACCGAGCCCCTCCCCAACGAGAAGGGTTCATTCTTCAGCGCCCTGACTGTACCTTTCAGAAAACACGCAGCGCAGTGCCAGCCTGTTTGGGGCTCCAGCCGCTTCGGGCACACCCAGCCTCCATAAGGCAGTCGCTGGCTTGCTGGATGCACAGGAAGTGCGCGGGCCCCAGGCTGGCTCGCCCCTCTCAGCCTGAAAGTCCAATGCATGGTGGTTGGCAGACACGATCGGCATCCCGGAAGGGGAAAGGACGGGCAGGGGGAGGAGGGGAAGGGCACGAGGGAAAGACTGTCTCCTGTCCTGCCACATCAAGGCTCCCCCTTATCCCGCTCTTCCCACAGGTATAGTCCACTCCCACCTCCGTGGCGATGATGGCGGCGACACTCGCATTGATGATGTGGTTTTTCAGTCTTGATGATACAATCGCCGCGGCGTGGGTACATTGCGGCATTCTAAACTAAGATCCTGCTCACGAAATACATGACGGAGCGGGTATAGTGGGCCATCACCGCTGGATCACCTGGGGTCCGCCCATGGTGGTGTCAATGCGCTTGTCCATAATGCCCCAGTTCACCTGTGGCGTCCGTTGTCCATTGCCCCACACCCCGTTCAGCCTAGCCGATCTCCGTTGTTTTCCTCCCTCCTGCCCCTCACCCTTGTTCTGCCTCTCATCCTCCTCCCCCTCTTCTTCCTCCCCCGATTCTGTCTCCTCCTCTGGCCCCTCCTCCTCCCCCTCCTCCTCCCCCATCCGCCGTCGGCTGCTGTCCCCAGCTCCGTGGCCCGTTCACTGCCGAGGCCAGACCGAGGCGTCAACAGGCCTGCCCGATAGAGGGCGTTTCCATTCATCCATCCCCTGCTCCTCCTCCTCCTCCGACCCCCTCCCCTCATGCCCTCCTCTTACTTCTCTCCTCCTCTTTCTCGTTCTCCTCCTCCTCCTCCTCCTCGTCCTCGTCGTCATCCTCCTTTTTTCATCCTCTTCCCGTCATCTTCCTCTGCAGAACAAATATTATATTCCCTTTGACGCTCCCGCTTCTCCTTCTCCTTCTTTTCCTCATCCTTTTCCTCCCCTCCCCGCTGCCGCTTCCCCCATCCCCTTTCTCTGATAGATCACTAATCCCTGTGGCTTCCCATGGCGTGTTGGTAGGGCGGGTCGGGCGTTTCGCCTGAGATCCCCTAGCCGTGTATTACCATGAAGCGTGACTTCTGCACCAGGTAGACGAAATCAGAAATGTCGTTGCCAACATTCGGCTCTCGCCCTTGCGCCGCGCACATGCGTCTTAACAGCTTGCGGGAACACAAAGATAGACGAGGGGTACTGCCTTCAGAATGGGACTTTCGCCAGGGCGAAGCGCAGATTCGTCGCAAAAGCTCAACAACGATGGAAGACTGCTCCTTTCCAAAACTGGCTTCTCAACTTGGCGCCGCGCACGTTCGTCTGAGGTCGGCGGGTCTTCTCGAAACCTGATCGGACAAGAACGGGAAGCGCCGCTTCAGTCTAATGGGCGCATTGGGCGAAAAAGAAAAGGAAGGCGAGGGCAAAGAGGAGTCGATGACGAGGACGACGTGGCGAACGTGAGGATAGCGAGGAGGAGCATGAGGACAACGGGGGTCTTCTGGAAATTCGGCTCTCTCCCTGGCGCAGCGCGCATTCGTCCTGAGAGCTTGCAACGTCTGTCAGGATGGACGGGGGTCCTACTCAACGGCGGTTTTCCCTGAGCCCGCCACAGCTCCGCGAGGCACGAGCTGGATTCCAGCAGTGGCCTGACCACAAGAAAGCTTCCCCAAGAAACCCAAACCTGAGACCCCAGGACGTCCATTGTTTTTCGGTGTGGGAACGTCACGCGTTCCATCGCAAAACCAACGAAACCCAAAAAACACAGGGCACATCGGAGGCGAGCAGGATGTTTCTTGGCATGGGTCTCCACTTTATCATCAGGCCCCGTGGGTCCTCCGCCCTGCGGATCAAATACTCACGGGCCCGGAGTCCCAACAAGTGGCGCCTTTTCCAGAGGCTCACTGAGCCCCAAGACGGGTCAGGAGGGTCTCGCAAGGCCTGCAGTATGGTCCCGGAGCGTCCCCGAACAGCCCAGGAGCGCCCCAAGACGGCCTGAGTGGCTCCAAGACGGCTCCAAGGGGAGCCCCACGAAGGGGCCGAGAGGAACAATTCCTTGGTGTTACAATGAGTTGTTGCAGCATTTGGACGTTCTCGCCTTGTGGAGTTTCCAACGCTCCGAGACGGGCCCAAAGACCGGTCCGAGACGGTCCAAGATGCCCACTACGGGATCCCAAAACGGCCACATAGCCGCCAAACCAGCCGTCAACCCAAGACAACGGGCGGCGACGAGGCGGCGACGGGGTGGCGATGGCGGCCACATAGCCGCCAGACCGGCCGTCAGGCCCAGTTCCCTAAGAACAGAACCCCTAAGAGCAAGCCAGGGAAATTGATCGAAGGTCCGCGCGAAGCTCAGGGAAATAATGTGAGTGCAGCATTTTATGCCGATTTTGCCCTTTGGCCCCCCCCCCCAAAAAAAAAAACACACACACACACACAAAAAACAAAAAAAAAAAAAAACGTCGCGACTCTTTCCCCACCAGACACTGCCCCTCCCCCTCCCTCCCCTCATCCTCGAACGGTCCTTCTCCCAGTCCCGTTCCCCCTCCCACTCCTGACCCTTCCTCCCTCCCCCACTCCTCTCCCTCATCCGCGAACGGTCCTTCTCGAACATGGTGTCCACCTCGGAGCGCTTGGCGACAAGCAGCGGGCGCTTTCCGTACGGAACGGAGGTGTACAGCTGCACCGCCAGGCCGCCGGGGCTCATGTCGGCGGCCAGCCAGACCCAGCCCTTTCCGTCGTCTTTCACCTTTTCGGGGGTTGGCCCTCCCTTGGAGGTCTTCGTAAAAACGAATATGGCCTATTACGCCCGATTGGGGGTCCACTAAGCCGGTACAGGACTGATTAGGCAGGATATAGCGGGGTCATGACGGACTAAGCTGTGATAAACAGGATGTTATCCGACTAGGCCCGTATTCGACCCAGGAAATACCAACGCCGATTCTGAATTTACCCTCCCAGGAGTTGCCGCCTAAGCACGATGCACAAGCCACAGCTCACAACCACGAGGCGGGTGCAGCCCCCCTGGGAAGCGACAGGGGGGGGAGGCGAGGGAGGACGTTGACGAGGAAGAGCAGGGGCAGGACGAAGGGGCAGCCCGGCTCTCCCCCCTCATCCCCGTACCCCATATCCTCCCCCTTGGGATCCCCCGCCCTCACCCCCCTCAGCGAGGAGGACGAGAAGGGAACGCGGCCCCTGCCTTCTGAGTCTCGTCGTTCCCGGGGCCGCCCTTGACGACGTGCTTGCCCAACTTCATCTGCTCCTTGAGGCCCGCGATGCCGACGGCGATGTCCCTCTTGCCGATCCCCCCGGGGGGCGGACCCTTCCACTGGCCGCTGTAGCGGGTGAACGTGCCCTTGTCGTCCCACACCCCGTGGAAGTGCTTGACGATGAGCTCCGCCGTGATCGAACCCTTCGGGGGGTCGCCGCCGCTGCCCGAGATCGTCTCGTCGTAGAACGCCTGGATGTCGGCATCGCTGACGTCGTACTCTCCGCCGCCGCGCGCGGCCCGGGCCACCTGCCCCCGCACGGTGGCCCCCGAGGCGGTCGGGCGCGCCGAGGGCGCGGGCGCCACGAAGGCGCTCGGCAGGAGGGTCGGGCCTCGCTGAAAGTGCCCCCGGCCCGAGGCGCCCCCCCCAAGAGGATGTCCACGGAGGCCCCCACGGCCGCCAGGGCACCCCTCGCGAGGCCCCGAGGGACCCATGGGAGCTCCAAAGCATGGAGGCCCCAGCTCTTCGCTCTGTTTCTTGGCTGGGGCCCCTCTGGGCCTCGTGAGGGGTGTCCTCAGGGCCGTGGGGGCCTCCTTGGAGATCCTGGGGGGCACCTTGGGCCGGGGGCGCTGCTAGCAACCCCCGAGAGGTAGAGCCCCAGCGCGAGGGCTAGGCAGGCTGGCAGGCCAGTGCCTCGGAGGGGGGCCATGGCGCCAGTAGCCCAGCGAGCAGCGTCGAGCTTCGGTCGAGAGGTGTCGGAGCCCCGGGCCGAAAAGCGCTGCAGATGGCGTGGGCAGCCCGGGCGTTCCCACCGCGCTCGGCAGATGGAGCATGGCACCACGCACCGCTGCTCCGCCCAGACTGCCGCACAAGCCTCCCTCCTCCCTCCTTGTTTGACGCTGGCCGTGCATGGGCATCGTGGCTGTTGCCTTCTCCCAGTGCTCTGAGGCATCGAGATCAAAAGGAGAGAGCGCTGACTTTAGGCCAGCGATACCTCCTCCCTCCTTCTCTTCCGCCTCCTCTGTCTCAACGCGATGCGTTCTGCCTTTCCCCGAGCGACACTGACTTCTACCCCCCCCCGCCTCCTCCTCCTCCTCCTCCTCCTCCTCCTCCTCCTCCTCCTCCTCCTCCTCCTCCTCCTCCTCCTCCTCCGCCTCCGCCTCCGCCTCCGCGGCACGTCCGCAGCGGTGCTGGGCCTGCGAGAGCCACAGCATGCCTGTAGGTGCGCACCTGTCAGCACCACGGCATGCCCGCGAGCACCGGCGGATGCCGTGGGGAAACCGGTATCCTCCACGCGCGAGCTCTGCACCGCTGTGGGAGGGGGGGAAGGGGCTCTAGGGGAACGAAGAACGACGTAAACATAAAAACTCGGAGGTCCGCGAAGATTTCTCGGATCCGCGCTGGACCGACCCCCTCCCTGGCGCGCGGAGCGCGACAGGGGCGGCGGCGGCGCCGGAGGCGCCGCCAGGGAGCCCCAGTGCCGATCCGAGAAATCCGCGCGGACCTCCGAGTTCTAATGCTTATGAAATGTTTCGCTCCCCTGGAGAGAAGCACGACCCCCCCGTAACGGACCCTACGGGCTCACTGAGCACAAACAAAAACACACCACCGCTGCGCGAGATCGGGCCAAGAAGGCCGAGGAGGCCCCCAAGAGAGCCCCAAGAGGCCTTCATGACGGCTTCAGAGAGGGAGCACGGACTGACATTTCGAGCCCTCCGCCCCAAGACGACTTCCGAGGCCGCCAGTAGGGCCCCAAAGAAACCCCCCAGAAGCTCCAAGAGGTCCCCAAGAGGCGAGGCCCCCGAGAGGCCCGAAAGACACCCAAAGCCGCCTCGAAAAGGTTTCGTTTCCAACAGGCCTCCGAAGAGATAGTACCTAAGAGGCATATGACCTACAACCAAGACACGGTTGCGGGATGGACCGAAGGCAACTAAACCTGCTTGGCACGGGGACGAACATCGCTCGTACTCTGCGAGGGCGCAAAATCGCTTGCTCAGTGTCTTGGAGCCCTCTTGGTGTTCAGACTTCGGTTTGCCATACAAAAGACTACCAACCAACCTTGCGAAAATCAATGAAGATGGCATCCCCAGGCCTTCTTGGGGGTCCTTTTAGGGTTCCTTCGGGCCGTCTTGGGGCCCTCTTGGGTCGTCCTGGGGCCCTCTTGGGCTCTTACCGTGGCTTCGGCCGTCTTGGGACCCTCTTGGGGCCCTCTACCTTGTACGGCGTTTCGTGGCCCCATGGGGGGCCCCACCGAATGCCCCAATTGCTGCGACCACACGCATCCCGCGCCACTCTATACGGCGCTTGATGGCCCCATGTGGGAGCTCCACCGAAGGCCCCAGCGGCTGTGACCACACGCGTCCCGCGCCACCCAGCACGGCGCGTGGCCTCATTGGGAGCTCCACCGAAGGCCGCACTGGCTGTGATCACATGCGTCTCCCCCCGCCCATTTCGGCACACCTCTCACGTGCTTCGTGGCCCCATAGGGAACCCCACCGAAGGCCCCAGTGTCGACGTTCGCATGCGCTCCCCCCGCACATTTCGGCATGCCTCTCTCGCGTCTCCAGGCCCCATATGTAGCTCAACTGAAGGCCCCAACGGCGACGTTCGCATGGCGGCCCCGCTCCATTCTAGCACGCCTCTCACAATTTTCGTGGCCCCCTACGGACCGTCACCGAAGGCCACAATAACAGCGCCCGCATGCGTCCCGGTCCAGTTCGGCACGGTCCCGTTCGGCACGCCCTTTACGCGCCTCGTGACCCCATAAGTAGCTCCACCGAAGGCGATACCCACAACGGCGATACTCACAACTGCACATGGTTGGGCCCTTCGCCAGGAATTGTTGTTCTTTCGCTCTGGCAGGTCACGCTTGTTTCCCAGGCCCCACCCACCCCCTCGCAACGGTAACAATCATACTTAGGGGAGGGGGGGCCCTGCACACCCCTCAATCGGCGCGTTGAGGGGCGCGCCCCCCGCATGTATGGCGCCGCGCTCGCAGGCACGGCGCGGCGCTGAAGAACATGCTTTGGTGCTCGCAAACGTGCTGAACCCTTCGCAGGCTCCCCGCTGTTGCGGCGCCAATCTTACAGGCATGGCGCGGTGCTGAAAAGGTATGTCTCGGTGCTCACATGCGTGCTGCGGCGTTTGCAACCTATTCCTGCGCGCGTAGGTCAGGCGGGCGTGGGGCTACAAGACAGCACGCGCGACTTCAACATGGATGACCCCGCTGCATGCGATGCTTAGCTCATGGAAGCAGAGCCAGGGCTACGAAAACCACGTGCAGAAACAGACGGGCCGTGTCCCATCATGGTGCATCCGATGCAAATTCAAGTTGCGCATGCCGAGCGCGAGGTGTGAGACGCGTGGTCCTGGCGATTGTTCCCGAAACATTCCTTGCGTTTTGGGGTTCGTACTTGCTCTCTTGAATCATCGGATAGGTGTTGCGGGGTTGCGCCAAGTGCTCACTTGTTGAACGTCCGTGGGCTCCTCGTAGGCTACCCCACATAGCTTACACCACACAGCTTGCACCACATGGCTTACACCACACTGCTGAGACCACAGAACGTGCACCGCAATTTACACCACCTGGCTTGAACCGCGAAGCTATCACCACCCAGCTTGCATCATCTAGCTTCTACAACATCTGTTACACATGCAGCGTGAAAGAAGCCGTTGTTTGGGGTCCACAGTAACAGGTATTCTGAATCCTTACGTTGCCATGTTCGAGGTGCCGTTGCTCGTGTCTACTGCATTGGGAAGCGCGGAGCCTGCCGAAATACGGTGTGTTTAAAATTTGGGGGGGCGACGCGGAGCCAACCTGTTTGGAGGGTCTTTGCTCGGCTGCTTCAAAAACGCGAACGGCCCCCGCCTCTTTAGGATACATACTCTGAACGAATGCCGTCGTCGACAAACCTCTAGTCTTGGGTACTGACCCGACAACGTTCGTCTCGGCAAGGGCTACCGTCGGGGCGTTGACCGAAGGAACCTTAAATAAGGAACGAGGCCCCTTGATCCCAAAAGTTAAGCTTCGATTTCCAATCGAAAACCTCAGGAAAATCCAAGCCAAGCTGTAAAACAATCAAGGAACACCGAGCCCCTCCCCAACGAGAAGGGTTCATTCTTCAGCGCCCTGACTGTACCTTTCAGAAAACACGCAGCGCAGTGCCAGCCTGTTTGGGGCTCCAGCCGCTTCGGGCACACCCAGCCTCCATAAGGCAGTCGCTGGCTTGCTGGATGCACAGGAAGTGCGCGGGCCCCAGGCTGGCTCGCCCCTCTCAGCCTGAAAGTCCAATGCATGGTGGTTGGCAGACACGATCGGCATCCCGGAAGGGGAAAGGACGGGCAGGGGGAGGAGGGGAAGGGCACGAGGGAAAGACTGTCTCCTGTCCTGCCACATCAAGGCTCCCCCTTATCCCGCTCTTCCCACAGGTATAGTCCACTCCCACCTCCGTGGCGATGATGGCGGCGACACTCGCATTGATGATGTGGTTTTTCAGTCTTGATGATACAATCGCCGCGGCGTGGGTACATTGCGGCATTCTAAACTAAGATCCTGCTCACGAAATACATGACGGAGCGGGTATAGTGGGCCATCACCGCTGGATCACCTGGGGTCCGCCCATGGTGGTGTCAATGCGCTTGTCCATAATGCCCCAGTTCACCTGTGGCGTCCAGTGTCCATTGCCCCACACCCCGTTCAGCCTAGCCGATCTCCGTTGTTTTCCTCCCTCCTGCCCCTCACCCTTGTTCTGCCTCTCATCCTCCTCCCCCTCTTCTTCCTCCCCCGATTCTGTCTCCTCCTCCGGCCCCTCCTCCTCCCCCTCCTCCTCCCCCATCCGCCGTCGGCTGCTGTCCCCAGCTCCGTGGCCCGTTCACTGCCGAGGCCAGACCGAGGCGTCAACAGGCCTGCCCGATAGAGGGCGTTTCCATTCATCCATCCCCTGCTCCTCTCCTCCTCCGACCCCCTCCCCTCATGCCCTCCTCTTACTTCTCTCCTCCTCTTTCTCGTTCTCCTCCTCCTCCTCCTCCTCGTCCTCGTCGTCATCCTCCTTTTTTCATCCTCTTCCCGTCATCTTCCTCTGCAGAACAAATATTATATTCCCTTTGACGCTCCCGCTTCTCCTTCTCCTTCTTTTCCTCATCCTTTTCCTCCCCTCCCCGCTGCCGCTTCCCCCATCCCCTTTCTCTGATAGATCACTAATCCCTGTGGCTTCCCATGGCGTGTTGGTAGGGCGGGTCGGGCGTTTCGCCTGAGATCCCCTAGCCGTGTATTACCATGAAGCGTGACTTCTGCACCAGGTAGACGAAATCAAAAATGTCGTTGCCAACATTCGGCTCTCGCCCTTGCGCCGCGCACATGCGTCTTAACAGCTTGCGGGAACACAAAGATAGACGAGGGGTACTGCCTTCAGAATGGGACTTTCGCCAGGGCGAAGCGCAGATTCGTCGCAAAAGCTCAACAACGATGGAAGACTGCTCCTTTTCAAAACTGGCTTCTCAACTTGGCGCCGCGCACGTTCGTCTGAGGTCGGCGGGTCTTCTCGAAACCTGATCGGACAAGAACGGGAAGCGCCGCTTCAGTCTAATGGGCGTATTGGGCGAAAAAGAAAAGGAAGGCGAGGGCAAAGAGGAGTCGATGACGAGGACGACGTGGCGAACGTGAGGATAGCGAGGAGGAGCATGAGGACAACGGGGGTCTTCTGGAAATTCGGCTCTCTCCCTGGCGCAGCGCGCATTCGTCCTGAGAGCTTGCAACGTCTGTCAGGATGGACGGGGGTCCTACTCAACGGCGGTTTTCCCTGAGCCCGCCACAGCTCCGCGAGGCACGAGCTGGATTCCAGCAGTGGCCTGACCACAAGAAAGCTTCCCCAAGAAACCCAAACCTGAGACCCCAGGACGTCCATTGTTTTTCGGTGTGGGAACGTCACGCGTTCCATCGCAAAACCAACGAAACCCCAAAAACACAGGGCACATCGGAGGCGAACGGGATGTTTCTTGGCATGGGTCTCCACTTTATCCTCAGGCCCCGTGGGTCCTCCGCCCTGCGGATCAAATACTCACGGGCCCGGAGTCCCAACAAGTGGCGCCTTTTCCAGAGGCTCACTGAGCTCCAAGACGGGTCAGGAGGGTCTCGCAAGGCCTGCAGTATGGTCCCGGAGCGTCCCCGAACAGCCCAGGAGCGCCCCAAGACGGCCTGAGTGGCTCCAAGACGGCTCCAAGGGGAGCCCCACGAAGGGGCCAAGAGGAACAATTCCTTGGTGTTACAATGAGTTGTTGCAGCATTTGGACGTTCTCGCCTTGTGGAGTTTCCAACGCTCCGAGACAGGCCCAAAGACCAGTCCGAGACGGTCCAAGATGCCCACTACGGGATCCCAAGACGGCCATGGAAGGCTCGGATACAGCCAAGGAGGCCCCCCCCAACGAGCCCAGGAGCCCCCTCAGACGGGTGTCCACGAGAGGGAACAATAACTTTAGGTCGGGCGTGTCCCTCTACAGGCGGGTGTTGGACGATTGTTTAAACAAACAACAAAATCAAAACGTAATCGGAAAATCGTTCCCAGTAGAAATCTGAAATGCGCACACCTATTTTTGAGCACTCCTCCTGTAGAGGGACGTGCCCGACTTAACACTGTAACTCACATTTCGAGCCCACCAACCCAGGATGGCCCCACGATCCGCCCACGGGCCCCCGAGGGGGGCCGCAAGAGGTCCACAGAAGCCTCCAGGACCCCCCCCCCTCAACGCACCCGAGGAATTCCCCAGGAAGCACCCGAAAGCATGCCCAAAGACACCTAGAGACATCCATCGATACGACCCATCTACAAGAGAGCCCAGAATCGAATCGATCAGTCGGATCGGCGATCGAGATGGATCGCATCGGCGGAAATCGGCAGCCTAGTCGGGAGATGTCGAACCGGCGGGAATCGGCAGACTAGTCGGTCTCCACTGAAAAATCTGAACCAAATCGGAATCCCAAGTGCCGAATCGAATCGGAATCGGAGGCCATCGAGATCGGATCGAGTCGAATCGGGAGAATCGAAACGAGCCCCGCACCTGGGACGCTCCACGGAAACCTCCGACCCCCAAAGCAGGCAGAGTGGTGGGTTGGGCCGAAAGCCACTAGACAGCTCGTCAAATTGAACGACCACGAGGTAACAGACGTTACAACTACCCGGGCAGAGGGCGGCATATTTTTGAAAGCTGGGGCTTCGCGCTAGGACTCCTGCAATGCAGAGGCCAAGCATGCAAGCTTGACCAACAACAAAACGGGTGTGGGGGACGGCTCCAAGTGAAGAAACGGGGTTCCCGCTGGACACGGCGGCAAACTTCCCGAGATTGCCTGTGAGGGCACCCCCCCATGGATCGACAGATGAACCCGTCGCGACTCAACTGCCAGGGAACAGCTCCTAAACGGGCAGCAGTAAGAAACACCGCTTGGCATTGCGCACCATCGTGTTGCAATGTTTGGCGTTGGCTCGCATTGCCTGGCCTTGCTTTGCTTTGTCTGGCAGTGCTTTGAAGCGCACTGCTTGGCATTGCTTGGCCATGCCTGGCACTTCTTTGCCTTGCGTGTCATTGCGAACGGTTGATGTGCATTGCTTTGCGTTTCTTGGCATTGCTCGGCATCGCCTGGCGTTGCTTGGTGTTGCTTGGCACTGTGACGCATTGTTTGGCATCGCGCGGAATTGCTGACATTGCTAAACATGCCGTTGCGTTGCCTGGCATTGCTTGGCGCAGATGGGCTTTGCTTGGCATCGCTTGGCATTGCCGGGCATCGCTTGCCGTGGTTTGGCCTTGCTTGGGCATTGTTTGGAATTGCATGGCATTGGTTTAATCCTTGTGCTTCGCTGTTGCTTGGTCAGCGCTGCGCCTCGGCTGCTGCGCGCCTCAACCTCCTCCTGTGAACATGCACCCTGGGGTCGGCCCGGCCTTTCTCGCCGCACAGCGTGCCCTGCACAAGGTCAGCGTTGCCGCCGCACGCCGCCGGCCCCTGTTGGGCGGGCAGCGGCCAGACCATGCCCCAGGGTGGGCGGGAGGGGGGCCCAAACAGCTTCGGGCACACGCACTGCGCAAAGCGCCGCTGTCAGCGCTGCGCCTCGGCCGCCGCGCGCCTCGCCCCCCTCCTGCGAACGCGCGCCCGGCGGTCGGCCCGGCCTTTTTCGCCGCGCAGCGTGTCCTGCACAAGGTCAGCGTCGCCGGTTGCCGCCAGCCCCTGTTGGGCGGGCAGACCATGCCAACCAAAATAAGCGGCGCCGGGGCGGCTGGCGGGCGTCGGAGGCAGGCCACGAAGGCCCGCTGACTACCCTGCGGCGGAGGCGCGGCGACGCCGCCGGTCAGCGCCGGCACGCGCAACTGAGCGCACGCGCGCACAGATCGAGCAGTTCCGGACATGCCGCGGCAAGTTCGCGAATGCGGTCGCGGGCCGCACGGGGGAGATCTGGCAGGAGGCCCGCGGCACCTCCGGCCCGATGGCTGGCAGGCGTGATCCCGCCGTTGCTGGTGGGAACGCCCAACTGAGACACTAGAGCCCGTCGGCGCTGGAAGGCACTGTCGGCCCGCGGCCGCTGCTGCTCGGGAGTGCGCGGCAACCACGCCACGAGCAAGTCGATCAACACCGGCTCGTCAAACCTCGCGCGCTGACGGCGGGCAGCCAGGCGTCGCGTCTTCGGCAGGTTGATTCTGACATACGCCCGAGCTCTGTTGGAGATCAGGGCGCTGCGCAACAGCACGTCAGCGGGGGCCAAGGCCAGGAGCTCGCCTGGCCGGAGCACGGCAGCAAAACTCAAATACAAAAGGGCTCCCATGTCGACCCATCCCCACATCAGTGAGAGCTATACCATGGCTAGCAGAAGGACCGGCGGCGCGGGGGAATGATTCTGACTGGCATGAGAGCCTGCCACGCGTCCACCACGTCCCACGCTGCCTGCAAGTGGCGCCGGAGCGACCGGTCCAAGTCCACCACGGCGTTCACGGTCTCGGCGAAGTCCCCGACGGGGCCACCTACGTCGTAAAGATATTGCCCGCCTCTGGCAAGCAGCCGCGCGATGTCGCGTCCTCCGGAGCGACGAGCTGAGCGATAGTCACGTAAAGTTCCGCGCGCCACCGAGCCCCCAGCCGCTGCGCCAACACGGCTCGGCGCCCGACCGCCCAGGCCGACAACGCGCGCGAGCCAAGTCGATGGCAAGCATGTTGCGGGCAGGAAGCGATTGCGCGCGAGGGCCCTCACATGGGTAGCCCAGCGCGCCGTCGAAGATGCGCCCTGCCAATGGCCACGGCCTCCGGGGCTGCCGCCGAGTCACCAGGAAGAGGAGGCGGGCCCGGTCTGACACAGCGCGGCGCTGCAGGGGCAGCGCGGCGACGGAGTCGAAGAAGTCGTAGTCGGCCTCGATCTCCAGGGCAGGCCACCCCCGCGGATTCCCGCCTGCCGCGCCTCGCGGTTCCGGGTCGGATCGTCGGCTGCGTTCAGGCGAGTGGGGACGCAGTGGCCACCGGGTAGTGGCCACCGGGTAACGGCCACCAGGCAATGGCACAGCCCGTCGAAGCTCCACATTGGATCGGCTTCCTGGGAGAGCGACTTATGGCCAGGGCCCCGAGGCCGACCAATGAATCCAGCAGGTACACCTGCCGGCAACCTGTCCTGGCAGCGACTTGCCGCCCCAGGCATTGGGCATAGGCTCGCACCTCTCGCATGTCGATGTGCTGTCTGCTCGAGTCTGGCGCGAACCCCATCCAGAATCCACGAGTCGGCAACGGCGATCTCGTTGATCAGCAGAGATTTCGAAGCGCCACTGGCGCCAGGACAACTCCCGGAGCTCGCGATGGCATCGTCGCCCTGCGCCTCCTGCATCCTGCCGCGCGCCTCGCCTTTCAAGTCGGCGACGAGAGAGGCCCAATCGCGGCAGAATGCCGCGGGATATGCCGCCGTGGAGGGCCCTGCTTCGGGGCGTCTGTCGCGCCTGTGGAAACCCGCGCACGGCTCGCCAAGCGGCGACGAGAAAACTCGGCGCCCACGAGGCCAATGCGGGTATCCTGGCGGGAAGCACCACCGAAAGAACATGCAGAAAAATCTCGGCTGCCCACTCGCGGATGCCTCATCAACGCCTGGGTCTGCGGAGCGCTCCAGGAGAATGCGGCCCGCGGACGCCCCCAGCTGCCGGCAGCCCAAGGAGACCGCCGGATCGCCAGCAGCACGGTCAGGATGATCATGAGCAGCTCGTTTCCTGACTTCGCAACCTCTTCGTGGGTGTTGACGCCGACAGGGAACGAGCGCGACCTGGGCCTAGGGCGCCGCGCCGCACTGACGGTCGACCAGACACGTTGCGGGTCCACTTCCTGCGCGCGCTGCTGCTCGGCGCGCAGAGCCTCGCCAAAGCCGCCGCGATCGCGATCCAGGCCTCGTGCGAATAGCCACTCGCCATGCTGACCGACCAAATGCGTCGGCCACGCACGGCGGTCGCGCAGACGCCAGAGCTCACGGCGCAGCGCGCGGCTGATGGGCGCTGCGACGGCGCCAAGGGCGCTCTCCGGGGCGTCAGCGGCCACGAGCACGTCGCTAGGATGAGCCCAGATGTTCGAAGTCATCGAAAGGCAGAGCGCCGCCAACAGCACGAGCTCCTGTCGCGCGCTGGCCGGCAACTCGAACACCTCCAAATCCCGACCGGGGTCGGGAAGGCGCCGGAAGACGTGCCAGAGAAGGCATGGGAGGGGCCTGCGGAACAAGAGGATGAAAACCCAGCCGCTCACCACAGCGCGGAGCGGCGAGCCTGCGACGCGCCGCTGCGCGGCTAGCTGCAAGATGAGCTCCGCCAGGCGCACTCGCCGAAGACGTTCGGATCCGATCTGGACGCGGTTGAATATGGTACGCAACCGCCATCCAGCCCAGCCGCAGCGGAAATGCATGATGACGGGCTTCGCTGAGCACTGCGCAAAGACTGATGGACTCATCGCGCTTCCAAGGATCGACCTCAGCTGCTGCCGCGTGCCATCCCAGAAGAGACGCCATCTCTGCATACAAATGGTAGTCAAATGCCGCAGCCGTCGAGCTCCGCCCAGCACCGCCTGAGCCCCAGACTTCGCTCATCTCAGCACTGGCGATCCATCGCTTTTAAATGGCACTGCGAGCTCGTGCCCAAAGTCTGACAAGAGAGTTGGCCAGCGCTATCAATCGTGACCCTCCGCCTGCATTGGGTAACCTGACCAATGTAGTGAGGATACGACTGTCTGGCCAGCATCCAATAGACTCACACCTGCCACACAATCGAGAGATGACAACAAACCCGATATCTGAAATGTGCCACAACACTCTCGGTGATATGTTTGTCTGCCCAACAGCCGTCGTCTCCTTGAAGTTCAGACACTCCGACCGAAGAGAAGTAACTGGCACCTCTGGCAACTCATCCCACTGGTCGAAATCCGACGGTTTGTGGAACTGCGTAAGGCCATGCGTAGTCCAAATTCGTTTCCACTTGCACATCTCTCTACCAACCAGCTGGCGGGGACTTGCCATGGTGGTCTGGTCTAAGACTTCCTGAAGAACATGTACTCGAGTTAACCGGTGAGCCCGACTGGCCCCATTCTCAAGGTATTCGCGAGCCCAAGACCTCCAAACCTTCGGTTGCTCTCGTTCGAAATTGAGACGTGCACCTTCCGCCAGCCTGAGGAACCGCTCCGTGAGCTCATGAGCTCTATCTTCCATCCACACATCAGGTCCCAGACGAGGAAGCAGGGGCGACCGACCAATATTTCCATAAAAACGCTTGTAGCTTTATGGCGATATGCGGGAGCTGCGTGGTTTGAGCTATCAACACTGCGCACAACAGATTAGCAGCAATAAGCTTCTGAGCCTTCTCACAAATCAACTGCCACGCTTGACGTCCATGCTTCAACCATCTAGCTGCAACCTGCAAGGCCACCGCCCCCTGACTCTGATAAGCACGACGTCGTGGCGGGCGCCACTCCAGCTTTGAACGAGGAAAGGCCACAGGCTGTCCCCGTTCAACATGATCCGCACATTCGCGATGTAGGTGGTCTCATCTATCCGAGAGCTCACATTCACTGGCATGGACAACCTGGTTCCACGCACGCTGAAGTCCTGCTTGGCCCTGCGCAGCATCAATAAATCGGAGGGCCACCTGCCACTCAACGTAACGAAGAAATCGTGCACATCCCATGGGAGCCCTGGACCGCCAGCCGCGGGGCTCACAAGGTACACGCACCCTAGCTTCCACGTTTTGCACCAACACTGGCAAATGCACATGGAGATAAGGATACGTGGCCGCTTCCTGATCCACAGAAGGTTGCGAAATGCGTGTGACCAAATTGCTGCACATGATGCCATAGTCAATGGTCGTGCCCGCACCTTGTACACAAGTAATGTCGCGAGGAACAATGTGCAGCCCTTGAAACCCTTGAGACCAGCCTGTCATCAACGTTGACGAGTCCATGTTAAAATCACCTCGACAGATCCAATCCAAACGCAGTGAGTCTAACACCATAAGACAATTCTGCAGATGCGCTTATAGGCATTGGCCTCGTCCATCCCAACTGAATCATGGAAGTACGCCGTTACCACCACAAGCCCGTTCTTCACACCAAAGTGGGCATGCGCTGCACACAATCGTCCAGGTGCAACATCTGCCTCAAAGAATGGAGCTGCCGTAACTGAGATGTGGGACCTGGCCAGCACACACACACACACCTCCCGATGTACCACCCGCTTCTGTAGGAAGAGCCTCCTGCCAGATGCCATGGTAGCCCAGGTCCTTGACCTCGACGTGGTACAATATGCGTGGTGCACTCTACGTTGTGCAATATATGTGGTGCAATATGAGTTGAAATCGACACGGTGTAACCTATGCGGTGCAACACAAACATATATATATATATATATATATATATATATATATATCCGCCGGCCCCCTTGTGGGGCCACCAGGCTGTAGGCGCGGGTTCGCAGTTTCCAGTACCAGTTCAGTTGTAGCTTGTAGTTTCCAGTGTTACAGTTCTGCTTCTTGCTGGTTACTGTAACCAGTTGATTGACCGCGCGAGGGGGGGAGGCCCAAACAGGATTTTTTAGCACCCCCTGGGCGCGTTGTCTGAATTGCTGGGGGGGCTCGAAATCGACACCCCTCACGCAGATCCGCGGGGTCAGGGTCCAAAAACACATGGGATTTGCCACATTTCTGAAATTCGGTGCCACCCCTCACGCAGATCCGCGGGGTCAGGGTCCAAAAACACAGGGGATTTGCCACATTTCTGAAATTCGGTGCCACCCCTCACGCAGATCCGCGGGGTCAGGGTCCAAAAACACAGGGGATTTGCCACATTTCTGAAATTCGGTGCCACCCCTCACGGACATCCATCGCAAGGCGTGGTAACCCAAACTGCGAGTACTCCCTCGGCCCTTTAATCCCAAGGTGTGGTAACCAAGCTCGTAAACCATACACGTCTTACCAATCGCCCTGTGTGGTAACCCCTCTTGTGATCAGTTGGTTTTGCCGATTGCGAATCGGCCTCGCATGAAGTTCCGATACTGCTGCGCGACAGCGCCAAAGCCTCATGACTTAGCTCTTCCATGGCCCATTCTCCGAGAGAGGGGGCCGGCGGCAGGGGGCGAAGCCCTTACGGATATACATATATACACATATAGTATGATTTCTTGTATACATGTATGGTGCAATCTATGTTGAGCAATATATGTGGTGCATTCTGATTTGTATCAGACGACGGGCGGCGACGAACCGGCGACGGGGCGGCGACGGCGGCCACATAGCCGCCAGACCAGCCGTCAACCCAAGACAACGGGCGGCGACGAGGCGGCGACGGGGTGGCGATGGCGGCCACATAGCCGCCAGACCGGCCGTCAGGCCCAGTTCCCTAAGAACAGAACCCCTAAGAGCAAGCCAGGGAAATTGATCGAAGTTCCGCGCGAAGCTCAGGGAAATAATGTGAATGCAGCATTTTATACCGATTTTGCCCTTTGGCCCCCCCCCCCAAAAAAAAAACACAAAAAAAAAAAAAACGTCGCGACTCTTTCCCCACCAGACACTGCCCCTCCCCCTCCCTCCCCTCATCATCGAACGGTCCTTCTCCCAGTCCCGTTCCCCCTCCCACTCCTGACCCTTCCTCCCTCCCCCACTCCTCTCCCTCATCCGCGAACGGTCCTTCTCGAACATGGTGTCCACCTCGGAGCGCTTGGCGACAAGCAGCGGGCGCTTTCCGTACGGAACGGAGGTGTACAGCTGCACCGCCAGGCCGCCGGGGCTCATGTCGGCGGCCAGCCAGACCCAGCCCTTTCCGTCGTCTTTCACCTTTTCGGGGGTTGGCCCTCCCTTGGAGGTCTTCGTAAAAACGAATATGGCCTATTACGCCCGATTGGGGGTCCACTAAGCCGGTACAGGACTGATTAGGCAGGATATAGCGGGGTCATGACGGACTAAGCTGTGATAAACAGGATGTTATCCGACTAGGCCCGTATTCGACCCAGGAAATACCAACGCCGATTCTGAATTTACCCTCCCAGGAGTTGCCGCCTAAGCACGATGCGCAAGCCACAGCTCACAACCACGAGGCGGGTGCAGCCCCCCTGGGAAGCGACAGGGGGGGGAGGCGAGGGAGGACGTTGACGGGGAAGAGCAGGGGCAGGACGAAGGGGCAGCCCGGCTCTCCCCCCTCATCCCCGTACCCCATATCCTCCCCCTCGGGATCCCCGGCCCCCACCCCCCTCAGCGAGGAGGACGAGAAGGGAACGCGGCCCCTGCCTTCTGAGTCTCGTCGTTCCCGGGGCCGCCCTTGACGACGTGCTTGCCCAACTTCATCTGCTCCTTGAGGCCCGCGATGCCGACGGCGATGTCCCTCTTGCCGATCCCCCCGGGGGGCGGACCCTTCCACTGGCCGCTGTAGCGGGTGAACGTGCCCCTAGCGTCCCACACCCCGTGGAAGTGCTTGACGATGAGCTCCGCCGTGATCGAACCCTTCGGGGGGTCGCCGCCGCTGCCCGAGATCGTCTCGTCGTAGAACGCCTGGATGTCGGCATCGCTGACGTCGTACTCTCCGCCGCCGCGCGCGGCCCGGGCCACCTGCCCCCGCACGGTGGCCCCCGAGGCGGTCGGGCGCGCCGAGGGCGCGGGCGCCACGAAGGCGCTCGGCAGGAGGGTCGGGCCTCGCTGAAAGTGCCCCCGGCCCGAGGCGCCCCCCCCAAGAGGATGTCCACGGAGGCCCCCACGGCCGCCAGGGCACCCCTCGCGAGGCCCCGAGGGACCCATGGGAGCTCCAAAGCATGGAGACCCCAGCTCTTCGCTCTGTTTCTTGGCTGGGGCCCCTCTGGGCCTCGTGAGGGGTGTCCTCAGGGCCGTGGGGGCCTCCTTGGAGATCCTGGGGGGCACCTTGGGCCGGGGGCGCTGCTAGCAACCCCCGAGAGGTAGAGCCCCAGCGCGAGGGCCAGACAGGCTGGCAGGCCAGTGCCTCGGAGGGGGGCCATGGCGCCAGTAGCCCGGCGAGCAGCGTCGAGCTTCGGTCGAGAGGTGTCGGAGCCCCGGGCCGAAAAGCGCTGCAGATGGCGTGGGCAGCCCGGGCGTTCCCACCGCGCTCGGCAGATGGAGCATGGCACCACGCACCGCTGCTCCGCCCAGACTGCCGCACAAGCCTCCCTCCTCCCTCCTTGTTTGACGCTGGCCGTGCATGGGCATCGTAGCTGTTGCCTTCTCCCAGTGCTCTGAGGCATCGAGATCAAAAGGAGAGAGCGCCGACTTTAGGCCAGCGATACCTCCTCCCTCCTTCTCTTCCGCCTCCTCCTCAACTGCCTGCCTTTCCCCGTGCGACTGACTTCTCCTCCTCCTCCTCCTCCTCCTCCTCCTCCTCCTCCTCCTCCTCCTCCTCCTCCTCAAATTTGGGGGGGCGACGCGGAGCCAACCTGTTTGGAGGATCTTTGCTCGGCTGCTTCAAAAACGCGAACGGCCCCCGCCTCTTTAGGATACATACTCTGAACGAATGCCGTCGTCGACAAACCTCTAGTCTTGGGTACTGACCCGACAACGTTCGTCTCGGCAAGGGCTACAGTCGGGGCGTTGACCGAAGGAACCTTCCATAAGGAACGAGGCCCCTTGATCCCAAAAGTTAAGCTTCGATTTCCAATCGAAAACCTCAGGAAAATCCAAGCCAAGCTGTAAAACAATCAAGGAACACCGAGCCCCTCCCCAACGAGAAGGGTTCATTCTTCAGCGCCCTGACTGTACCTTTCAAAAAACACGCAGCGCAGTGCCAGCCTGTTTGGGGCTCCAGCCGCTTCGGGCACACCCAGCCTCCATAAGGCAGTCGCTGGCTTGCTGGATGCACAGGAAGTGCGCGGGCCCCAGGCTGGCTCGCCCCTCTCAGCCTGAAAGTCCAATGCATGGTGGTTGGCAGACACGATCGGCATCCCGGAAGGGGAAAGGACGGGCAGGGGGAGGAGGGGAAGGGCACGAGGGAAAGACTGTCTCCTGTCCTGCCACATCAAGGCTCCCCCTTATCCCGCTCTTCCCACAGGTATAGTCCACTCCCACCTCCGTGGCGATGATGGCGGCGACACTCGCATTGATGATGTGGTTTTTCAGTCTTGATGGCACAATCGCCGCGGCGTGGGTACGTTGCGGCATTTTAAACTAAGATCCTGCTCACGAAATACATGACGGAGCGGGTATAGTGGGCCATCACCGCTGGATCACCTGGGGTCCGCCCATGGTGGTGTCAATGCGCTTGTCCATAATGCCCCAGTTCACCTGTGGCGTCCATTGTCCATTGCCCCACACCCCGTTCAGCCTAGCCGATCTCCGTTGTTTTCCTCCCTCCTGCCCCTCACCCTTGTTCTGCCTCTCATCCTCCTCCCCCTCTTCTTCCTCCCCCGATTCTGTCTCCTCCTCCGGCCCCTCCTCCTCCCCCTCCTCCTCCCCCATCCGCCGTCGGCTGCTGTCCCCAGCTCCGTGGCCCGTTCACTGCCGAGGCCAGACCGAGGCGTCAACAGGCCTGCCCGATAGAGGGCGTTTCCATTCATCCATCCCCTGCTCCTCCTCCTCCTCCGACCCCCTCCCCTCATGCCCTCCTCTTACTTCTCTCCTCCTCTTTCTCGTTTTCCTCCTCCTCCTCCTCCTCGTCCTCGTCGTCATCCTCCTTTTTTCATCCTCTTCCCGTCATCTTCCTCTGCAGAACAAATATTAGATTCCCTTTGACGCTCCCGCTTCTCCTTCTCCTTCTTTTCCTCATCCTTTTCCTCCCCTCCCCGCTGCCGCTTCCCCCATCCCCTTTTCTCTGATAGATCACTAATCCCTGTGGCTTCCCATGGCGTGTTGGTAGGGCGGGTCGGGCGTTTCGCCTGAGATCCCCTAGCCGTGTATTACCATGAAGCGTGACTTCTGCACCAGGTAGACGAAATCAGAAATGTCGTTGCCAACATTCGGCTCTCGCCCTTGCGCCGCGCACATGCGTCTTAACAGCTTGCGGGAACACAAAGATAATCGAGGGGTACTGCCTTCAGAATGGGACTTTCGCCAGGGCGACGCGCAGATTCGTCGCAAAAGCTCAACAACGATGGAAGACTGCTCCTTTCCAAAACTGGCTTCTCAACTTGGCGCCGCGCACGTTCGTCTGAGGTCGGCGGGTCTTCTCGAAACCTGATCGGACAAGAACGGGAAGCGCCGCTTTAGTCTAATGGGCGTATTGGGCGAAAAAGAAAAGGAAGGCGAGGGCAAAGAGGAGTCGATGACGAGGACGACGTGGCGAACGTGAGGATAGCGAGGAGGAGCATGAGGACAACGGGGGTCTTCTGGAAATTCGGCTCTCTCCCTGGCGCAGCGCGCATTCGTCCTGAGAACTTGCAACGTCTGTCAGGATGGACGGGGGCCCTACTCAACGGCGGTTTTCCCGGAGTCCGCCACAGCTCCGCGAGGCACGAGTTGGATTACAGCAGTGGCCTGACCACAGGAAAGCTTCCACAAGAAACCCAAACCTGAGACCCCAGGACGTCCATTGTTTTTCGGTGTGGGAACGTCACGCGTTCCATCGCAAAACCAACGAAACCCAAAAAACACAGGGCACATCGGAGGCGAGCAGGATGTTTCTTGGCATGGGTCTCCACTTTATCCTCAGGCCCCGTGGGTCCTCCGCCCTGCGGATCAAATACTCACGGGCCCAGAGTCCCAACAAGTGGCGCCTTTTCCAGAGGCTCACTGAGCCCCAAGACGGGTCAGGAGGGTCTCGCAAGGCCTGCAGTAATTCTGGTCCCGGAGCGCCCCCGAACAGCCCAGGAGCGCCCCAAGACGGCCTGAGTGGCTCCAAGACGGCTCCAAGGGGAGCCCCATGAGGGGGCCAAGAGGAACAATTCCTTGGTGTTACAATGAATTGTTGCAGCATTTGGACGTTCTCGCCTTGTGGAGTTTCCAACGCTCCGAGACGGCCCCAAAGACCGCTCCGAGACGGTCCAAGATGCCCACTACGGGATCCCAAGACGGCCCAAGAAGGCTCGGATACAGCCAAGGAGGCTCCCCCAAACGAGCCCAGGAGCCCCCTCAGACGGGTGTCCACGAGAGGGAACAATAACTTTAGGTCGGGCGTGTCCCTCTACAAGCGGGTGTTGGACGATTGTTTGAACAAACAACAAAATCAAAACGTAATCGGAAAATCGTTCCCAATAGAAATCGGAAATGCGCACAACTATTTTTGAATACTCCTCCTGTAGAGGGACGTGCCCGACTTAACACTGTAACTCACATTTCGAGCCCACCAACCCAGGATGGCCCCACGATCCGCTCACGGGCCCCCGAGGGGGGCCGCAAGAGGTCCACTGAAGCCTCCAGGACCCCCCCCCCTTCAATGCACCCCAGGAATCCCCCAGGAAGCACCCGAAGGCATGCCCAAAGACACCTAGAGACATCCATCGATACGACCCATCTACAAGAGAGCCCAGAATCGAATCGATCAGTCGGATCGGCGATCGAGATGGATCGCATCGGCGGAAATCGGCAGCCGAGTCGGGAGATGTCGAACCGGCGGGAATCGGCAGACTAGTCGGTCTCCACTGAAAAATCTGAACCCAAATCGGAATCCCAAGTGCCGAATCGAATCGGAATCGGAGGCCATCGAGATCGGATCGAGTCGAATCGGGAGAATCGAAACGAGCCCCGCACCTGGGACGCTCCACGGAAACCTCCGACCCCCAAAGCAGGCAGAGTGGAGGGTTGGGCCGAAAGCCGCTAGACAGCTCGTCAAATAGAACGACCACGAGGTAACAGACGTTACAACTACACGGGCAGAGGGCGGCATATTTTCGAAAATTGGGGCTTCGCGCTAGGACTCCTGCAATGCAGAGGCCAAGCATGCAAGCTTGACCAAGAACAAAACGGGTGTTGGGGACGGCTCCAGGTGAAGAAACGGGGTTCCCGCTGGACACGGCGGCAAACTTCCCGAGATTGCCTGTGAGGGCACCCCCCCATGGATCGACAGATGAACCCGTCGCGACTCAACTGCCAGGGAACAGCTCCTAAACGGGCAGCAGTAAGAAACACCGCTTGGCATTGCGTACCATCGTGTTGCAATATTTGGCGTTGGCTCGCATTGCCTGGTCTTGCTTTGCTTTGGTTGGCAGTGCTTTGAAGTGCACTGCTTGGCATTGCTTGGCCATGCCTGGCACTGCTTTGCCTTGCTTGTCATTGCGAATGGTTGATGTGCATTGCTTTGCGTTTCCTGGCATTGCTCGGCATCGCCTGGCGTTGCTTGGTGTTGCTTGGCACTGTGACGCATTGTTTGGCATCGCGCGGAATTGCTGACATTGCTAAACATGCCGTTGCGTTGCCTGGCATTGCTTGGCGCAGATGGGTTTTGCTTGGCATCGCTTGGCATTGCCGGGCATCGCTTGCCGTGGTTTGGCCTTGCTTGGGCATTGTTTGGAATTTCATGGCATTGGTTTAATCCTTGTGCTTCGCTGTTGCTTGGTCAGCGCTGCGCCTCGGTTGCTGCGCGCCTCAACCTCCTCCCGCGAACATGCACCCTGGGGTCGGCCCGGCCTTTCTCGCCGCACAGCGTGCCCTGCACAAGGTCAGCGTTGCCGCCGCATGCCGCCGGCCCCTGTTGGGCGGGCAGCGGCCAGACCATGCCCCAGGGTGGGCGGGAGGGGGGCCCAAACAGCTTCGGGCACACGCACTGTGCAAAGCGCCGCTGTCAGCGCTGCGCCTCGGCCGCCGCGCGCCTCGCCCCCCTCCTGCGAACGCGCGCCCGGCGGTCGGCCTGGCCTTTTTCGCCGCGCAGCGTGTCCTGCACAAGGTCAGCGTCGCCGGTTGCCGCCAGCCCCTGTTGGGCGGGCAGACCATGCCAACCAAAATAGGTGGCGCCGGGGCGGCTGGCGGGCGTCGGAGGCAGGCCACGAAGGCCCGCTGACTACCCTGCGGCGGAGGCGCGGCGACGCCGCTGGTCAGCGCCGGCACGCGCAACTGAGCGCACGCGCGCACAGATCGAGCAGTTCCGGACATGCCGCGGCAAGTTCGCGAATGCGGTCGCGGGCCGCACGGGGGAGATCTGGCAGGAGGCCCGCGGCAGCAACCTCCTGGATATAGACCTCGAGCGCCCTGGCTGAGGTCCATTTGCCGCGCCGCCGTGTCTGGGCGAGGTTGTCGTTGGACTCGAAGAAAAAAGTAGCACCTCCGGCCCGATGGCTGGCAGGCGTGATCCCGCCGTTGCTGGCGGGAACGCCCAACTGAGACACTAGAGCCCGTCGGCGCTGGAAGGCACTGTCGGCCCGCGGCCGCTGCCGCTCGGGAGTGCGCGGCAACCACGCCACGAGCAAGTCGAGCAACACCGGCTCGTCAAACCGCGCGCGCTGACGGCGGGCAGCCAGGCGTCGCGTCTTCGGCAGGTTGATTCTGACATACGCCCGAGCTCTGTTGGAGATCAGGGCGCTGCGCAACAGCACGTCAGCGGGGGCCAAGGCCAGGAGCTCGCCCGGCCGGCGCATGGCAGCAAAACTCAAATACAAAAGGGCTCCCATGTCGACCCATCCCCACATCAGTGCGAGCTATGCCATGGCTAGCAGAAGGACCGGCGGCGCGGGGGAATGATTCTGACTGGCATGAGAGCCTGCCACGCGTCCACCACGTCCCACGCTGCCTGCAACTGGCGCCGGAGCGACCGGTCCAAGTCCACCACGGCGTTCACGGTCTCGGCGAAGTCCCCGACGGGGCCACCTACGTCGTAAAGATATTGCCCGCATCTGGCAAGCAGCCGCGCGATGTCGCGGCCTCCGAGGGCGACGAGCTGAGCGATAGTCATGTAAAGTTCCGCGCGCCACCAAGCCCCCAGACGCTGCGCCAACACGGCTCGGCGCCCGACCGTCCAGGCCGACAACGCGCGCGAGCCAAGTCGATGGCAGGCATGTTGCGGGCAGGAAGCGATTGCGCGCGAGGGCCCTCACATGGGTAGCCCAGCGCGCCGTCGAAGATGCGCCCTGCCAATGGCCACGGCCTCCGGGGCTGCCGCCGAGTCGCAAGGAAGAGGAGGCGGGCCCGGTCTGACACAGCGCGGCGCTGCAGGTGCAGCGCGGCGACGGAGTCGAAGAAGTCGTAGTCGGCCTCGATCTCCAGGGCAGGCCACCCCCCGCGGATTCCCGCCTGCCGCGCCTCGCGGTTCCGGGTCGGATCGTCGGCTGCGTTCAGGCGAGTGGGGACGCAGTGGCCACCGGGTAGTGGCCACCGGGTAATGGCCACCAGGCAATGGCACAGCCCGTCGAAGCCCCACATTGGACCGGCTTCCTGGGAGGGCGACTTATGGCCAGGGCCCCGAGGCCGACCAATGAATCCAGCAGGTACACCTGCCGGCAACCTGTCCTGGCAGCGACTTGCCGCCCCAGGCATTGGGCATAGGCTCGCACCTCTCGCATGTCGATGTGCTGTCTGCTCGAGTCCGGCGCGCACCCCATCCAGAATCCACGAGTCGGCAACAGCGATCTCGTTGATCAGCAGAGATTTCGAGGCGCCACTGGCGCCAGGACTACTCCCGGAGCTCGCGATGGCATCGTCGCCCTGTGCCTCCTGCATCCTGCCGCGCGCCTCGCCTTTCAAGTCGGCGACGAGAGAAGCCCAGTCGCGGCAGAATGCCGCGGGATATGCCGCCGTGGAGGGCCCTGCTCCGGGGCGTCTGTCGCGCTTGTGGAAACCCGCGCACGCTCGCCAAGCGGCGACGAGAAAACTCAGCGCCCACGAGGCCAATGCGGGTATCCTGGCGGGAAGCACCACCGAAAGAACATGCAGAAAAATCTCGGCCGCCCACTCGCGGATGCCTCATCAACGCCTGGGTCTGCGGAGCGCTCCAGGAGAATGCGGCCCGCGGACGCCCCCAGCTGCCGGCAGCCCGAGGAGACCGCCGGATCGCCAGCAGCACGGTCAGGATGATCATGAGCAACTCGCTTCCTGACTTCGCAACCTCTTCGCGGGTGTTGACGCCGACAGGGAACGAGCGCGACCTGGGCCTAGGGCGCCGCGCCGCACTGACGGTCGACCAGGACACGTTGCGGGTCCACTTCCTGCGCGCGCTGCTGCTCGGCGCGCAGAGCCTCGCCAAAGCCGCCGCGATCGCGATCCAGGCCTCGTGCGAATAGCCACTCGCCATGCTGACCGACCAAATGCGCCGGCCACGCACGGCGGTCGCGCAGACGCCAGAGCTCGCGGCGCAGCGCGCGGCTGATGGGCGCTGCGACGGCGCCCAGGGCGCTCTCCGGGGCGTCAGCGGCCACGAGCACGTCGCTAGGATGAGCCCTGATGTTCGAAGTCATCGAAAGGCAGAGCGCCGCCAACAGCACGAGCTCCTGTCGCGCGCTGGCCGGCAACTCGAACACCTCCAAATCGCGACCGGGGTCGGGAAGGCGCCGGAGGACGTGCCAGAGGAGGCATGGGAGGGGCCCGCGGAACAAGAGGATGAAAACCCAGCCGCTCACCACAGCGCGGAGCAGCGAGCCTGCGACGCGCCGCTGCGCGGCTAGCTGCAAGATGAGCTCCGCCAGGCGCGCTCGCCGAAGACGTTCGGATCCGATCTGGACGCGGTTGAAGATGGTACGCAACCGCCATCCAGCCCAGCCGCAGCGGAAATGCATGATGACGGGCTTCGCTGAGCACTGCGCAAAGACTGATAGACTCATCGCGCTTCCAAGGATCGACCTCAGCTGCTGCCGCGTGCCATCCCAGAAGAGACGCCATCTCTGCATACAACTTGTAGTCAAATGCCGCAGCCGTCGAGCTCCGCCCAGCACCGCCTGAGCCCCAGACTTCGTTCATCTCAGTACTGGCGATCCATCGCTTTTAAATGGCACTGCGAGCTCGTGCCCAAAGTCTGACAAGAGAGTTGGCCAGCGCTATCAATCGTGACCCTCCGCCTTCATTGGGTAACCTGACCAATGTAGTGAGGATACGACTGTCTGGCCAGCATCCCATAGACTCACACCTGCCACACAATCGAGAGATGACAACAAACCCGATATCTGACATGTGCCACAACACTCTCGGTGATACGTTTGTCTGCCCAACAGCCGTAGTCTCCTTGAAGTTCAGACACTCCGACCGAAGAGAAGTAACTGGCACCTCTGGCAACTCATCCCACTGGTCGAAATCCGACGGCTTGTGGAACTGCGTAAGGCCATGCGTAGTCCAAAATCGTTTCCACTTGCACATCTCTCTACCAACCAGCTGGCGGGGACGTGCCATGGTGGTCTGGTCTAAGACTTCCTGAAGAACATGTACTCGAGTTAACCGGTGAGCCCGACTGGCCCCATTCTCAAGGTATTCGCGAGCCCAAGACCTCCAAACCTTCGGTTGCTCTCGTTCGAAATTGAGACGTGCACCTTCCGCCAGCCTGAGGAACCCCTCCGTGAGTTCATAAGCTGCATCTTCCATCCACACATCAGGTCCCAGACGAGGAAGCAGGGGCGACCGACCAATATTTCCATAAAAACGCTTGTAGCTTTATGGCGATATGCGGGAGCTGCGTGGTTTGAGCTATCAACACTGCGCACAACAGATTAGCAGCGATAAGCTTTTGAGCCTTCTCACAAATCAACTGCCACGCTTGACGTCCATGCTTCAACCATCTAGCTGCCACCTGCAAGGCCACCGTCCCCTTACTCTGATAAGCACGACGTCGTGGCGGGCGCCACTCCAGCTTTGAACGAGGAAAGGCCACAGGCTGTCCCCGTTCAGCATGATCCGCACATTCGCGATGTAGGTGGTCTCATCTATCCGAGCGCTCACATTCAATGGCATGGACAACCTGGTCCCACGCACGCTGAAGTCCTGCTGCTTGGCCCTGCGCAGCATCAATACATCGGAGGGCCACCTGCCACTCAACGTAACGAAGAAATCGTGCACATCCCATGGGAGCCCTGGACCGCCAGCCGCGGGGCTCACAAGGTACACGCACCCTAGCTTCCACGTTTTGCACCAACACTGGCAAATGCACATGGAGATGAGGATACGTGGCCGCTTCCTGATCCACAGAAGGTTGCGAAATGCGTGTGACCAAATTGCTGCACATGATGCCATAGTCAATGGTCGTGCCCGCACCTTGTACACAAGTAATGTCGCGAGGAACAATGTGCAGCCCTTGAAACCCTTGAGACCAGCCTGTCATCAACGTTGACGAGTCCATGTTAAAATCACCTCGACAGATCCAATCCAAACGCAGTGAGTCTAACACCATAAGACAATTCTGCAGATGCGCTTATAGGCATTGGCCTCGTCCATCCCAACTGAATCATGGAAGTACGCCGTTACCACCACAAGCCCGTTCTTCACACCAAAGTGGGCATGCGCTGCACACAATCGTCCAGGTGCAACATCTGCCTCAAAGAATGGAGCTGCCGTAACTGAGATGTGGGACCTGGCCAACACACACACACACACCTCCCGATGTACCACCCGCTTCTGTAGGAAGAGCCTCCTGCCAGATGCCATGGTAGCCCAGGTCCTTGACCTCGACGTGGTACAATATGCGTGGTGCACTCTACGTTGTGCAATATATGTGGTGCAATATGAGTTGAAATCGACACGGTGTAACCTATGCGGTGCAACACAAACGCCTATATATATATATATATATATATATATATTCGCCGGCCCCCTTGTGGGGCCACCAGGCTGTAGGCGCGGGTTCGCAGTTTCCAGTACCAGTTGTAGCTTGTAGTTTCCAGTGTTACAGTTCTGCTTCTTGCTGGTTACTGTAACTAGTTGATTGACCGCGCGAGGGGGGGGAGGCCCAAACAGGGATTTTTTAGCACCCCCTGGGCGCGTTGTCTGAATTGCTGGGGGGGCTCGAAATCGACACCCCTCACGCAGATCCGCGGGGTCAGGGTCCAAAAACACAGGGGATTTGCCACATTTCTGAAATTCGGTGCCACCCCTCCCGCAAATCCGCGGGGTCAGGGTCCAAAAACATAGGGGATTTGCCACATTTCTGAAATTCGGTGCCACCCCTCACGGACATCCATCGCAAGGCGTGGTAACCCAAACTGCGAGTACTCCCTCGGCCCTTTAATCCCAAGGTGTGGTAACCAAGCTCGTAAACCATACACGTCTTACCAATCGCCCTGTGTGGTAACCCCTCTTGTGATCAGTTGGTTTTGCCGATTGCGAATCGGCCTCGCATGAAGTTCCGATACTGCTGCGCGACAGCGCCAAAGCCTCATGACTTAGCTCTTCCATGGCCCATTCTCCGAGAGAGGGGGCCGGCGGCAGGGGGCGAAGCCCTTACGGATATACATATATACACATATAGTATGTTTCTTGTATACATGTATGGTGCAATCTATGTTGAGCAATATATGTGGTGCATTCTGATTTGTATCAGACGACGGGCGGCGACGAACCGGCGACGGGGCGGCGACGGCGGCCACATAGCCGCCAGACCAGCCGTCAACCCAAGACAACGGGCGGCGACGAGGCGGCGACGGGGTGGCGATGGCGGCCACATAGCCGCCAGACCGGCCGTCAGGCCCAGTTCCCTAAGAACAGAACCCCTAAGAGCAAGCCAGGGAAATTGATCGAAGGTCCGCGCGAAGCTCAGGGAAATAATGTGAGTGCAGCATTTTATACCGATTTTGCCCTTTGGCCCCCCCCCCCAAAAAAAAAACACAAAAAAAAAAAAAACGTCGCGACTCTTTCCCCACCAGACACTGCCCCTCCCCCTCCCTCCCCTCATCATCGAACGGTCCTTCTCCCAGTCCCGTTCCCCCTCCCACTCCTGACCCTTCCTCCCTCCCCCACTCCTCTCCCTCATCCGCGAACGGTCCTTCTCGAACATGGTGTCCACCTCGGAGCGCTTGGCGACAAGCAGCGGGCGCTTTCCGTACGGAACGGAGGTGTACAGCTGCACCGCCAGGCCGCCGGGGCTCATGTCGGCGGCCAGCCAGACCCAGCCCTTTCCGTCGTCTTTCACCTTTTCGGGGGTTGGCCCTCCCTTGGAGGTCTTCGTAAAAACGAATATGGCCTATTACGCCCGATTGGGGGTCCACTAAGCCGGTACAGGACTGATTAGGCAGGATATAGCGGGGTCATGACGGACTAAGCTGTGATAGACAGGATGTTATCCGACTAGGCCCGTATTCGACCCAGGAAATACCAACGCCGATTCTGAATTTACCCTCCCAGGAGTTGCCGCCTAAGCACGATGCGCAAGCCACAGCTCACAACCACGAGGCGGGTGCAGCCCCCCTGGGAAGCGACAGGGGGGGGAGGCGAGGGAGGACGTTGACGAGGAAGAGCAGGGGCAGGACGAAGGGGCAGCCCGGCTCTCCCCCCTCATCCCCGTACCCCATATCCTCCCCCTCGGGATCCCCCGCCCCCACCCCCCTCAGCGAGGAGGACGAGAAGGGAACGCGGCCCCTGCCTTCTGAGTCTCGTCGTTCCCGGGGCCGCCCTTGACGACGTGCTTGCCCAACTTCATCTGCTCCTTGAGGCCCGCGATGCCGACGGCGATGTCCCTCTTGCCGATCCCCCCGGGGGGCGGACCCTTCCACTGGCCGCTGTAGCGGGTGAACGTGCCCTTGTCGTCCCACACCCCGTGGAAGTGCTTGACGATGAGCTCCGCCGTGATCGAACCCTTCGGGGGGTCGCCGCCGCTGCCCGAGATCGTCTCGTCGTAGAACGCCTGGATGTCGGCATCGCTGACGTCGTACTCTCCGCCGCCGCGCGCGGCCCGGGCCACCTGCCCCCGCACGGTGGCCCCCGAGGCGGTCGGGCGCGCCGAGGGCGCGGGCGCCACGAAGGCGCTCGGCAGGAGGGTCGGGCCTCGCTGAAAGTGCCCCCGGCCCGAGGCGCCCCCCCCAAGAGGATGTCCACGGAGGCCCCCACGGCCGCCAGGGCACCCCTCGCGAGGCCCCGAGGGACCCATGGGAGCTCCAAAGCATGGAGGCCCCAGCTCTTCGCTCTGTTTCTTGGCTGGGGCCCCTCTGGGCCTCGTGAGGGGTGTCCTCAGGGCCGTGGGGGCCTCCTTGGAGATCCTGGGGGGCACCTTGGGCCGGGGGCGCTGCTAGCAACCCCCGAGAGGTAGAGCCCCAGCGCGAGGGCTAGGCAGGCTGGCAGGCCAGTGCCTCGGAGGGGGGCCATGGCGCCAGTAGCCCAGCGAGCAGCGTCGAGCTTCGGTCGAGAGGTGTCGGAGCCCCGGGCCGAAAAGCGCTGCAGATGGCGTGGGCAGCCCGGGCGTTCCCACCGCGCTCGGCAGATGGAGCATGGCACCACGCACCGCTGCTCCGCCCAGACTGCCGCACAAGCCTCCCTCCTCCCTCCTTGTTTGACGCTGGCCGTGCATGGGCATCGTGGCTGTTGCCTTCTCCCAGTGCTCTGAGGCATCGAGATCAAAAGGAGAGAGCGCCGACTTTAGGCCAGCGATACCTCCTCCCTCGTTCTCTTCCGCCTCCTCTGTCTCAACGCGATGCGTTCTGCCTTTCCCCGTGCGACACTGACTTCTACCCCCCCCCGCCTCCTCCTCCTCCTCCTCCTCCTCCTCCGCCTCCTCCTCCTCCTCCTCCTCCTCCTCCTCCTCCTCCTCCTCCTCCTCCTCCTCCTCAAATTTGGGGGGGCGACGCGGAGCCAACCTGTTTGGAGGATCTTTGCTCGGCTGCTTCAAAAACGCGAACGGCCCCCGCCTCTTTAGGATACATACTCTGAACGAATGCCGTCGTCGACAAACCTCTAGTCTTGGGTACTGACCCGACAACGTTCGTCTCGGCAAGGGCTACAGTCGGGGCGTTGACCGAAGGAACCTTCCATAAGGAACGAGGCCCCTTGATCCCAAAAGTTAAGCTTCGATTTCCAATCGAAAACCTCAGGAAAATCCAAGCCAAGCTGTAAAACAATCAAGGAACACCGAGCCCCTCCCCAACGAGAAGGGTTCATTCTTCAGCGCCCTGACTGTACCTTTCAAAAAACACGCAGCGCAGTGCCAGCCTGTTTGGGGCTCCAGCCGCTTCGGGCACACCCAGCCTCCATAAGGCAGTCGCTGGCTTGCTGGATGCACAGGAAGTGCGCGGGCCCCAGGCTGGCTCGCCCCTCTCAGCCTGAAAGTCCAATGCATGGTGGTTGGCAGACACGATCGGCATCCCGGAAGGGGAAAGGACGGGCAGGGGGAGGAGGGGAAGGGCACGAGGGAAAGACTGTCTCCTGTCCTGCCACATCAAGGCTCCCCCTTATCCCGCTCTTCCCACAGGTATAGTCCACTCCCACCTCCGTGGCGATGATGGCGGCGACACTCGCATTGATGATGTGGTTTTTCAGTCTTGATGGCACAATCGCCGCGGCGTGGGTACGTTGCGGCATTTTAAACTAAGATCCTGCTCACGAAATACATGACGGAGCGGGTATAGTGGGCCATCACCGCTGGATCACCTGGGGTCCGCCCATGGTGGTGTCAATGCGCTTGTCCATAATGCCCCAGTTCACCTGTGGCGTCCGTTGTCCATTGCCCCACACCCCGTTCAGCCTAGCCGATCTCCGTTGTTTTCCTCCCTCCTGCCCCTCACCCTTGTTCTGCCTCTCATCCTCCTCCCCCTCTTCTTCCTCCCCCGATTCTGTCTCCTCCTCTGGCCCCTCCTCCTCCCCCTCCTCCTCCCCCATCCGCCGTCGGCTGCTGTCCCCAGCTCCGTGGCCCGTTCACTGCCGAGGCCAGACCGAGGCGTCAACAGGCCTGCCCGATAGAGGGCGTTTCCATTCATCCATCCCCTGCTCCTCCTCCTCCTCCGACCCCCTCCCCTCATGCCCTCCTCTTACTTCTCTCCTCCTCTTTCTCGTTTTCCTCCTCCTCCTCCTCCTCGTCCTCGTCGTCATCCTCCTTTTTTCATCCTCTTCCCGTCATCTTCCTCTGCAGAACAAATATTAGATTCCCTTTGACGCTCCCGCTTCTCCTTCTCCTTCTTTTCCTCATCCTTTTCCTCCCCTCCCCGCTGCCGCTTCCCCCATCCCCTTTTCTCTGATAGATCACTAATCCCTGTGGCTTCCCATGGCGTGTTGGTAGGGCGGGTCGGGCGTTTCGCCTGAGATCCCCTAGCCGTGTATTACCATGAAGCGTGACTTCTGCACCAGGTAGACGAAATCAGAAATGTCGTTGCCAACATTCGGCTCTCGCCCTTGCGCCGCGCACATGCGTCTTAACAGCTTGCGGGAACACAAAGATAATCGAGGGGTACTGCCTTCAGAATGGGACTTTCGCCAGGGCGACGCGCAGATTCGTCGCAAAAGCTCAACAACGATGGAAGACTGCTCCTTTCCAAAACTGGCTTCTCAACTTGGCGCCGCGCACGTTCGTCTGAGGTCGGCGGGTCTTCTCGAAACCTGATCGGACAAGAACGGGAAGCGCCGCTTTAGTCTAATGGGCGTATTGGGCGAAAAAGAAAAGGAAGGCGAGGGCAAAGAGGAGTCGATGACGAGGACGACGTGGCGAACGTGAGGATAGCGAGGAGGAGCATGAGGACAACGGGGGTCTTCTGGAAATTCGGCTCTCTCCCTGGCGCAGCGCGCATTCGTCCTGAGAACTTGCAACGTCTGTCAGGATGGACGGGGGCCCTACTCAACGGCGGTTTTCCCGGAGTCCGCCACAGCTCCGCGAGGCACGAGTTGGATTACAGCAGTGGCCTGACCACAGGAAAGCTTCCACAAGAAACCCAAACCTGAGACCCCAGGACGTCCATTGTTTTTCGGTGTGGGAACGTCACGCGTTCCATCGCAAAACCAACGAAACCCAAAAAACACAGGGCACATCGGAGGCGAGCAGGATGTTTCTTGGCATGGGTCTCCACTTTATCCTCAGGCCCCGTGGGTCCTCCGCCCTGCGGATCAAATACTCACGGGCCCAGAGTCCCAACAAGTGGCGCCTTTTCCAGAGGCTCACTGAGCCCCAAGACGGGTCAGGAGGGTCTCGCAAGGCCTGCAGTAATTCTGGTCCCGGAGCGCCCCCGAACAGCCCAGGAGCGCCCCAAGACGGCCTGAGTGGCTCCAAGACGGCTCCAAGGGGAGCCCCATGAGGGGGCCAAGAGGAACAATTCCTTGGTGTTACAATGAATTGTTGCAGCATTTGGACGTTCTCGCCTTGTGGAGTTTCCAACGCTCCGAGACGGCCCCAAAGACCGCTCCGAGACGGTCCAAGATGCCCACTACGGGATCCCAAGACGGCCCAAGAAGGCTCGGATACAGCCAAGGAGGCTCCCCCAAACGAGCCCAGGAGCCCCCTCAGACGGGTGTCCACGAGAGGGAACAATAACTTTAGGTCGGGCGTGTCCCTCTACAAGCGGGTGTTGGACGATTGTTTGAACAAACAACAAAATCAAAACGTAATCGGAAAATCGTTCCCAATAGAAATCGGAAATGCGCACAACTATTTTTGAATACTCCTCCTGTAGAGGGACGTGCCCGACTTAACACTGTAACTCACATTTCGAGCCCACCAACCCAGGATGGCCCCACGATCCGCTCACGGGCCCCCGAGGGGGGCCGCAAGAGGTCCACTGAAGCCTCCAGGACCCCCCCCCCTTCAATGCACCCCAGGAATCCCCCAGGAAGCACCCGAAGGCATGCCCAAAGACACCTAGAGACATCCATCGATACGACCCATCTACAAGAGAGCCCAGAATCGAATCGATCAGTCGGATCGGCGATCGAGATGGATCGCATCGGCGGAAATCGGCAGCCGAGTCGGGAGATGTCGAACCGGCGGGAATCGGCAGACTAGTCGGTCTCCACTGAAAAATCTGAACCCAAATCGGAATCCCAAGTGCCGAATCGAATCGGAATCGGAGGCCATCGAGATCGGATCGAGTCGAATCGGGAGAATCGAAACGAGCCCCGCACCTGGGACGCTCCACGGAAACCTCCGACCCCCAAAGCAGGCAGAGTGGAGGGTTGGGCCGAAAGCCGCTAGACAGCTCGTCAAATAGAACGACCACGAGGTAACAGACGTTACAACTACACGGGCAGAGGGCGGCATATTTTCGAAAATTGGGGCTTCGCGCTAGGACTCCTGCAATGCAGAGGCCAAGCATGCAAGCTTGACCAAGAACAAAACGGGTGTTGGGGACGGCTCCAGGTGAAGAAACGGGGTTCCCGCTGGACACGGCGGCAAACTTCCCGAGATTGCCTGTGAGGGCACCCCCCCATGGATCGACAGATGAACCCGTCGCGACTCAACTGCCAGGGAACAGCTCCTAAACGGGCAGCAGTAAGAAACACCGCTTGGCATTGCGTACCATCGTGTTGCAATATTTGGCGTTGGCTCGCATTGCCTGGTCTTGCTTTGCTTTGGTTGGCAGTGCTTTGAAGTGCACTGCTTGGCATTGCTTGGCCATGCCTGGCACTGCTTTGCCTTGCTTGTCATTGCGAATGGTTGATGTGCATTGCTTTGCGTTTCCTGGCATTGCTCGGCATCGCCTGGCGTTGCTTGGTGTTGCTTGGCACTGTGACGCATTGTTTGGCATCGCGCGGAATTGCTGACATTGCTAAACATGCCGTTGCGTTGCCTGGCATTGCTTGGCGCAGATGGGTTTTGCTTGGCATCGCTTGGCATTGCCGGGCATCGCTTGCCGTGGTTTGGCCTTGCTTGGGCATTGTTTGGAATTTCATGGCATTGGTTTAATCCTTGTGCTTCGCTGTTGCTTGGTCAGCGCTGCGCCTCGGTTGCTGCGCGCCTCAACCTCCTCCCGCGAACATGCACCCTGGGGTCGGCCCGGCCTTTCTCGCCGCACAGCGTGCCCTGCACAAGGTCAGCGTTGCCGCCGCATGCCGCCGGCCCCTGTTGGGCGGGCAGCGGCCAGACCATGCCCCAGGGTGGGCGGGAGGGGGGCCCAAACAGCTTCGGGCACACGCACTGTGCAAAGCGCCGCTGTCAGCGCTGCGCCTCGGCCGCCGCGCGCCTCGCCCCCCTCCTGCGAACGCGCGCCCGGCGGTCGGCCTGGCCTTTTTCGCCGCGCAGCGTGTCCTGCACAAGGTCAGCGTCGCCGGTTGCCGCCAGCCCCTGTTGGGCGGGCAGACCATGCCAACCAAAATAGGTGGCGCCGGGGCGGCTGGCGGGCGTCGGAGGCAGGCCACGAAGGCCCGCTGACTACCCTGCGGCGGAGGCGCGGCGACGCCGCTGGTCAGCGCCGGCACGCGCAACTGAGCGCACGCGCGCACAGATCGAGCAGTTCCGGACATGCCGCGGCAAGTTCGCGAATGCGGTCGCGGGCCGCACGGGGGAGATCTGGCAGGAGGCCCGCGGCAGCAACCTCCTGGATATAGACCTCGAGCGCCCTGGCTGAGGTCCATTTGCCGCGCCGCCGTGTCTGGGCGAGGTTGTCGTTGGACTCGAAGAAAAAAGTAGCACCTCCGGCCCGATGGCTGGCAGGCGTGATCCCGCCGTTGCTGGCGGGAACGCCCAACTGAGACACTAGAGCCCGTCGGCGCTGGAAGGCACTGTCGGCCCGCGGCCGCTGCCGCTCGGGAGTGCGCGGCAACCACGCCACGAGCAAGTCGAGCAACACCGGCTCGTCAAACCGCGCGCGCTGACGGCGGGCAGCCAGGCGTCGCGTCTTCGGCAGGTTGATTCTGACATACGCCCGAGCTCTGTTGGAGATCAGGGCGCTGCGCAACAGCACGTCAGCGGGGGCCAAGGCCAGGAGCTCGCCCGGCCGGCGCATGGCAGCAAAACTCAAATACAAAAGGGCTCCCATGTCGACCCATCCCCACATCAGTGCGAGCTATGCCATGGCTAGCAGAAGGACCGGCGGCGCGGGGGAATGATTCTGACTGGCATGAGAGCCTGCCACGCGTCCACCACGTCCCACGCTGCCTGCAACTGGCGCCGGAGCGACCGGTCCAAGTCCACCACGGCGTTCACGGTCTCGGCGAAGTCCCCGACGGGGCCACCTACGTCGTAAAGATATTGCCCGCATCTGGCAAGCAGCCGCGCGATGTCGCGGCCTCCGAGGGCGACGAGCTGAGCGATAGTCATGTAAAGTTCCGCGCGCCACCAAGCCCCCAGACGCTGCGCCAACACGGCTCGGCGCCCGACCGTCCAGGCCGACAACGCGCGCGAGCCAAGTCGATGGCAGGCATGTTGCGGGCAGGAAGCGATTGCGCGCGAGGGCCCTCACATGGGTAGCCCAGCGCGCCGTCGAAGATGCGCCCTGCCAATGGCCACGGCCTCCGGGGCTGCCGCCGAGTCGCAAGGAAGAGGAGGCGGGCCCGGTCTGACACAGCGCGGCGCTGCAGGTGCAGCGCGGCGACGGAGTCGAAGAAGTCGTAGTCGGCCTCGATCTCCAGGGCAGGCCACCCCCCGCGGATTCCCGCCTGCCGCGCCTCGCGGTTCCGGGTCGGATCGTCGGCTGCGTTCAGGCGAGTGGGGACGCAGTGGCCACCGGGTAGTGGCCACCGGGTAATGGCCACCAGGCAATGGCACAGCCCGTCGAAGCCCCACATTGGACCGGCTTCCTGGGAGGGCGACTTATGGCCAGGGCCCCGAGGCCGACCAATGAATCCAGCAGGTACACCTGCCGGCAACCTGTCCTGGCAGCGACTTGCCGCCCCAGGCATTGGGCATAGGCTCGCACCTCTCGCATGTCGATGTGCTGTCTGCTCGAGTCCGGCGCGCACCCCATCCAGAATCCACGAGTCGGCAACAGCGATCTCGTTGATCAGCAGAGATTTCGAGGCGCCACTGGCGCCAGGACTACTCCCGGAGCTCGCGATGGCATCGTCGCCCTGTGCCTCCTGCATCCTGCCGCGCGCCTCGCCTTTCAAGTCGGCGACGAGAGAAGCCCAGTCGCGGCAGAATGCCGCGGGATATGCCGCCGTGGAGGGCCCTGCTCCGGGGCGTCTGTCGCGCTTGTGGAAACCCGCGCACGCTCGCCAAGCGGCGACGAGAAAACTCAGCGCCCACGAGGCCAATGCGGGTATCCTGGCGGGAAGCACCACCGAAAGAACATGCAGAAAAATCTCGGCCGCCCACTCGCGGATGCCTCATCAACGCCTGGGTCTGCGGAGCGCTCCAGGAGAATGCGGCCCGCGGACGCCCCCAGCTGCCGGCAGCCCGAGGAGACCGCCGGATCGCCAGCAGCACGGTCAGGATGATCATGAGCAACTCGCTTCCTGACTTCGCAACCTCTTCGCGGGTGTTGACGCCGACAGGGAACGAGCGCGACCTGGGCCTAGGGCGCCGCGCCGCACTGACGGTCGACCAGGACACGTTGCGGGTCCACTTCCTGCGCGCGCTGCTGCTCGGCGCGCAGAGCCTCGCCAAAGCCGCCGCGATCGCGATCCAGGCCTCGTGCGAATAGCCACTCGCCATGCTGACCGACCAAATGCGCCGGCCACGCACGGCGGTCGCGCAGACGCCAGAGCTCGCGGCGCAGCGCGCGGCTGATGGGCGCTGCGACGGCGCCCAGGGCGCTCTCCGGGGCGTCAGCGGCCACGAGCACGTCGCTAGGATGAGCCCTGATGTTCGAAGTCATCGAAAGGCAGAGCGCCGCCAACAGCACGAGCTCCTGTCGCGCGCTGGCCGGCAACTCGAACACCTCCAAATCGCGACCGGGGTCGGGAAGGCGCCGGAGGACGTGCCAGAGGAGGCATGGGAGGGGCCCGCGGAACAAGAGGATGAAAACCCAGCCGCTCACCACAGCGCGGAGCAGCGAGCCTGCGACGCGCCGCTGCGCGGCTAGCTGCAAGATGAGCTCCGCCAGGCGCGCTCGCCGAAGACGTTCGGATCCGATCTGGACGCGGTTGAAGATGGTACGCAACCGCCATCCAGCCCAGCCGCAGCGGAAATGCATGATGACGGGCTTCGCTGAGCACTGCGCAAAGACTGATAGACTCATCGCGCTTCCAAGGATCGACCTCAGCTGCTGCCGCGTGCCATCCCAGAAGAGACGCCATCTCTGCATACAACTTGTAGTCAAATGCCGCAGCCGTCGAGCTCCGCCCAGCACCGCCTGAGCCCCAGACTTCGTTCATCTCAGTACTGGCGATCCATCGCTTTTAAATGGCACTGCGAGCTCGTGCCCAAAGTCTGACAAGAGAGTTGGCCAGCGCTATCAATCGTGACCCTCCGCCTTCATTGGGTAACCTGACCAATGTAGTGAGGATACGACTGTCTGGCCAGCATCCCATAGACTCACACCTGCCACACAATCGAGAGATGACAACAAACCCGATATCTGACATGTGCCACAACACTCTCGGTGATACGTTTGTCTGCCCAACAGCCGTAGTCTCCTTGAAGTTCAGACACTCCGACCGAAGAGAAGTAACTGGCACCTCTGGCAACTCATCCCACTGGTCGAAATCCGACGGCTTGTGGAACTGCGTAAGGCCATGCGTAGTCCAAAATCGTTTCCACTTGCACATCTCTCTACCAACCAGCTGGCGGGGACGTGCCATGGTGGTCTGGTCTAAGACTTCCTGAAGAACATGTACTCGAGTTAACCGGTGAGCCCGACTGGCCCCATTCTCAAGGTATTCGCGAGCCCAAGACCTCCAAACCTTCGGTTGCTCTCGTTCGAAATTGAGACGTGCACCTTCCGCCAGCCTGAGGAACCCCTCCGTGAGTTCATAAGCTGCATCTTCCATCCACACATCAGGTCCCAGACGAGGAAGCAGGGGCGACCGACCAATATTTCCATAAAAACGCTTGTAGCTTTATGGCGATATGCGGGAGCTGCGTGGTTTGAGCTATCAACACTGCGCACAACAGATTAGCAGCGATAAGCTTTTGAGCCTTCTCACAAATCAACTGCCACGCTTGACGTCCATGCTTCAACCATCTAGCTGCCACCTGCAAGGCCACCGTCCCCTTACTCTGATAAGCACGACGTCGTGGCGGGCGCCACTCCAGCTTTGAACGAGGAAAGGCCACAGGCTGTCCCCGTTCAGCATGATCCGCACATTCGCGATGTAGGTGGTCTCATCTATCCGAGCGCTCACATTCAATGGCATGGACAACCTGGTCCCACGCACGCTGAAGTCCTGCTGCTTGGCCCTGCGCAGCATCAATACATCGGAGGGCCACCTGCCACTCAACGTAACGAAGAAATCGTGCACATCCCATGGGAGCCCTGGACCGCCAGCCGCGGGGCTCACAAGGTACACGCACCCTAGCTTCCACGTTTTGCACCAACACTGGCAAATGCACATGGAGATGAGGATACGTGGCCGCTTCCTGATCCACAGAAGGTTGCGAAATGCGTGTGACCAAATTGCTGCACATGATGCCATAGTCAATGGTCGTGCCCGCACCTTGTACACAAGTAATGTCGCGAGGAACAATGTGCAGCCCTTGAAACCCTTGAGACCAGCCTGTCATCAACGTTGACGAGTCCATGTTAAAATCACCTCGACAGATCCAATCCAAACGCAGTGAGTCTAACACCATAAGACAATTCTGCAGATGCGCTTATAGGCATTGGCCTCGTCCATCCCAACTGAATCATGGAAGTACGCCGTTACCACCACAAGCCCGTTCTTCACACCAAAGTGGGCATGCGCTGCACACAATCGTCCAGGTGCAACATCTGCCTCAAAGAATGGAGCTGCCGTAACTGAGATGTGGGACCTGGCCAACACACACACACACACCTCCCGATGTACCACCCGCTTCTGTAGGAAGAGCCTCCTGCCAGATGCCATGGTAGCCCAGGTCCTTGACCTCGACGTGGTACAATATGCGTGGTGCACTCTACGTTGTGCAATATATGTGGTGCAATATGAGTTGAAATCGACACGGTGTAACCTATGCGGTGCAACACAAACGCCTATATATATATATATATATATATATATATTCGCCGGCCCCCTTGTGGGGCCACCAGGCTGTAGGCGCGGGTTCGCAGTTTCCAGTACCAGTTGTAGCTTGTAGTTTCCAGTGTTACAGTTCTGCTTCTTGCTGGTTACTGTAACTAGTTGATTGACCGCGCGAGGGGGGGGAGGCCCAAACAGGATTTTTTAGCACCCCCTGGGCGCGTTGTCTGAATTGCTGGGGGGGCTCGAAATCGACACCCCTCACGCAGATCCGCGGGGTCAGGGTCCAAAAACACATGGATTTGCCACATTTCTGAAATTCGGTGCCACCCCTCACGCAGATCCGCGGGGTCAGGGTCCAAAAACATAGGGGATTTGCCACATTTCTGAAATTCGGTGCCACCCCTCACGGACATCCATCGCAAGGCGTGGTAACCCAAACTGCGAGTACTCCCTCGGCCCTTTAATCCCAAGGTGTGGTAACCAAGCTCATAAACCATACACGTCTTACCAATCGCACTGTGTGGTAACCCCTCTTGTGATCAGTTGGTTTTGCCGATTGCGAATCGGCCTCGCATGAAGTTCCGATACTGCTGCGCGACAGCGCCAAAGCCTCATGACTTAGCTCTTCCATGGCTCATTCTCCGAGAGAGGGGGCCGGCGGCAGAGGGCGAAGCCCTTACGGATATACATATATACACATATATTATGTTTTCTTGTATACATGTATGGTGCAATCTATGTTGAGCAATATATGTGGTGCATTCTGATTTGTATCAGACGACGGGCGGCGACGAACCGGCGACGGGGCGGCGACGGCGGCCACATAGCCGCCAGACCAGCCGTCAACCCAAGACAACCGGCGGCGACGAGGCGGCGACGGGGTGGCGATGGCGGCCACATAGCCGCCAGACCGGCCGTCAGGCCCAGTTCCCTAAGAACAGAACCTCTAAGAGCAAGCCAGGGAAATTGATCGAAGGTCCGCGCGAAGCTCAGGGAAATAATGTGAGTGCAGCATTTTATGCCGATTTTGCCCTTTGGTCCCCCCCCCAAAAAAAAAACACAAAAAAA